TCTGGTGCACACAAGACATCGGTCACCATGATTATCGGCTAGAAAACTGACGTAGACGTTGTATCCTGCAACATAAGACATCGAGTCCGGGACCACGGGGAGGTTAGTCGAAACCAGTACCCGTTTAGCCACCGAGTCACGACAATCAACGCTTGTCACAATGATTAATGACTGCCCGGATGAGTCATTCTGAAACACTCGTCATGTGAGTGGATTGCGATGCACAATCTCGGTAAGCGAGACTGAACTCTGTTGCGGCCGAGATATCGAAGGTCAGTTAGCCCGAAGTCAAATGGGGCAAAACTAGCTATGATTCTCAAAGTCCAAAGAACCGATTCATGAAACCATTATGCCAATCAGATTTTCAGTGAAGAATGGTAATAGCTACATTCATGCAGCAGAGAAAACAATAGTGGGCCATAGCATCCTTTGCCACCAAGCCAACACACCTAGGCACGATGAAGGATTTAGATCCGAGACTGTATCACAACGAAGTAATGACAAGTAACAACGGCTTACAGGAGTATAGTTCAGCCAAAAAGCCATTTACGTTGCCATTCAAATGAGAAATCCACAGGCCAAGCTGCTCGGTAATGTGCAGCATCATGGGATTTAATGCCAGTCCAAATTAGCCGTGGTGCCAAACGTTAACCAATAAATCCGTGAGGGACAGCATGCTTAAAGGGCCAAGCGCCTTCCAAACTTACAAAACGTGTACAATTATTTGATAATTCATGTGAAAACGGAACGACCATTTTTCTGATTTTACACACGCTATTTTGTAATTTTTTGTGGTTTTTAAGTTAGTGTTTTTGTAAACGTGAAACCAGACAGACTTTTTCTCACTGTTTCCACTAGGACCGGTTTTGTACCGTTGTTTCTAGCGTTGTGAGCCATTGGCATCCTTCGTCTTTGGGTCCCCAGCCAGAGAGTTGTACGGGGCCAGTGATGGTCAGGCAAGATGTCATCGATTTCATGCAATGTCGCCAGGTGGACGGTTGACCTCCCCACGGCCTTTTCCATAGTAACCCTACGTGCACAAACAAAGCGCGACCTGATGAACCCTCATTAGGCATGCTCGGAACGTGGCCAAACCTTCTCAATTGACGCAGCCGGACGGCATCACAAAATGGAACATCTGCCTTATCCAAGACGCTGTGTCTAACATCATCATTACGCACTCGGTGTTGTCAACGCACGTGGACAATCCTCCGCAAATAGTTACTGTCGAGGACCGAAAGACAGCACATGTATTCCATACGGATCGGCCAGGATTTGCATCCGTACAGCAATGTCGCATGAACACAGGCTTTGTAAATACTGCTTTTCAGCAAGGGTGAAATGTCGCAATGGCGCCACAAATGTCTTAAGTTGGCAAACGCTAACTGGGCTTTAGCGATTCGAAGGGATACCTCTGCTCCAATAGTGCCGTCTGCTGCGACGCAGCTCCCTAGGTAGATAAAACTACCCACGTATTCGAGCTGTGTGCCTTTGATGGTGAATTGGGGAAGGGGTGCCTGTCAGTCCTGTAGAAGAACTTTGCACTTGGAGGGTGCAAAGCACATACCAAGCTTAGACACTTGAATCACCAACCGATCAATAAACGATTGCATCCCATGGAGGTCGTCACCGAGCAAGGCGATATCATCAGCGTAATCTAAGTCGGTCGCGCGATTACCGGGGAGGAACTCGATACCGAAGTTCTGCAGGTTCTTTAAAGCTCCCAAAATGACATCGTCGATCGCAAAGTTGAATAGCAATGGTGACATTGTGCATCCTTGTCGCAGTACCGAGGCTTCGTTGCCGCGCAACTACCACCAGTCGCATGTTGGCTAAGGATACTGCGAGGATCGCCCCGCTCCTGCGCAGGCTGGAACCGGCGTCGCCAGGTTACAAGACGAGCTCGTTACTTTTAAGCTACGGGCCGACGTTAGAAATTACTGGCCAATCAGCCAAGCTTCCATAAGTAGTAGAATAATGAAGAGACTAATTGCCCCAAAAGTGGTAAATTTCCTGCAGACACCTGACGTGCTCATTAACTTGCAACCCGGATACCTTAGGGAGCGCTCATGTGTGACATCTTGCTTTTTACAACAATGTCGCTCTCTCCTTAGCCTGCGGGACATCATTAGTAGTGATTTTCCTAGGTATGGTGAAGACGTTTGATGGTGTACCTCACGATAAGCTTATAGATGACGTCGAATCATTTGGAACCACCGACCCATTGTCATCATGCTTCAGGTTATACCTTCCAAACCAAACCCAGGTAATTAATATAAACGATCAAAATTCACAGTCCGCACCAATGTTGAATGGTGTAGTTCGGCATAGCGTTATCGCCCCGCTGCTCTTTTTGTTGTTGTATCTTAATGACATATTTTGACGCAATACACTGCAGTGTCTCATACGTGGTTTGCTGACAGCGTGAAACTCGCTTACCCCGTTGATGTTACTGATACGAACCACACCACGAACGTCAAAGTATCTGAATGGAGTTTATTTAATATATCATTCTCAACCGAAAAGTCCAGCGCCCAGGGACGTTGGTACTATCTAGAAAAATCAATAACGTGCGGCAGTACGATAGAAGACTTGGTCTTTCACTATTCTGGCTAGCTGCACTTTCTGAAGCACATGGCAAGTGCAGTTGTTAAAGCCCGTCGAAGCATTGGACTGCTTTTTAAAGCACTCACAATAGAAGGTTTTCATTTATAAGATGAAAATCTGATCGGTGTTAGACTTTTGTACACTGATCCACAGCAGCGCAATAAATGTTGCTCAACTGGAGAAGTTACAGAGATGGTTCACTAAGCGCCTGCTAGGATATCAGCTTCTCAAATCTTTTATGCGTAGTGCTGCAGGGCTCAGACAGGTGAAACCTAATTGCTCTCTCTTATTTATTATCATACACGAGCGGGATCTGTAATTCAATTATTAGCCAAACTTTGGTGTTCGAAGCAGTCAAAAGTTAACATAGACAGAACTTGAACTCAGGCACGTAAAAACTTGCTTGAACGTTTACACAAATCTTTGGAGCAGGCTGCCTTCCAAGTTGCGAGAATGTAAATCACTTGAGTTCTTTTGTAAGGGGATTCACAGCCTGTACACTGTTGAGAAGACCACCGAGCTGCTGAGAAGAAATGTCAGTGTCTAGCAGGTTCTAGGATGTGTCGTAACTCATCATTATTTTCTCTTACATCCTCCGCATTAAACGTCTTGACTTCCCGCAACCGTTGGCCTTAATAGAGCATTCTGGCCTCAATACCACATTGGGTCCTGCAAAACTTTAGGTATAATTATGTAGCCCAGCCAACGTCCCCATGGCTCAGTGGCTTAAGCTGCTGGCTAGTTGGCATCTGCCTCTAGCGGTCATGGGTTCGATCCTTCTCAGAGGACCGAGGAAATGCGCGCCACTGACGAGCCCCAATAGGGCGAAACGCGTCTGGCGCTTTTCCAGATTAGGCTCTGCTATGTAACTTGTGAACTATTGGAGTGAAAGCCTTATCTGAAATATAACTAAAATCCTGCGACTCGTGAGTAATTCTAGTCTTAAATTAGAAAATTTGGGGTAACTTTTTAAGTCTGTGAGCATCATAATTTTTATTTTCTATTTATGAACGAACCGTCTTCTCTATCTCTAACTAATTATCTTTCTTGTGCGGAGCTAGGTGTCTGCACACAAACTACGAGGGTATTCTTAACATCCGTCAATATCAAGTCCTCTATATCTCGTCTGCTCCGACTGCATCGACTCAGAACCTGTTTTCTTGTGAACAACTTGTACAGAAACCATTCTTAACAATGTATTTGCAAATTTTATCGGATTAACCACGTGATCCGTATCTCGAACTATCGATATTTAAACGATTTCTTTTATTTTGTTCACTAAGTTTCTCTTCTTTACCTCCGTCCTGTACTCCTAACTATTTCTCCGTCTTCCTCAGAGGCAACAGCCCAGAAACTGACAGCAAGTCAGTGCTTAGCAATATCAAATCTGCGTTTTTCGGGCTCATCCATTTGATGGATGCATCTGAAAATTCCTTTCAGAACTGACTTGCAAATCGATGATTAGGGCGGCCATCTGTTTCGTCCATCTCACCGGACAACTTAATCACAAAATCCGCCAGCCTTTCTTGCGCTGTAGTTGCTATGCTATTTCCTTGTTTTTATCATTACTTTTATTACCCTCCTGTCTCCCGACTTTATATTCTTCTTTACTGCATTGTTGGCCACGATTGGGTCTATCTCCTGGGGTGATTGATTCTAGTTTCTAAGCTAATAAGCCAACCGTTGCAAGGCCTATTGCCGTAGACTCACTCTCGAGTGATAAAAGTACTTAACTACTGCTTATGCGTAGAAAGATTTCAGTTGTAATTTCAGTATATTCCTGCCAGCAACTCACAAGCTAGGTAGCTCAACCACAATCCGGAAAAGCACCAAGCGTGTTTCCCCCTGTTTGGGCTCGTCAATGGTACGCATTCCCTCGGTCACCTACTGGGAATCGAACCCATGACCGCTAGAGGCTGACCAAAAAAAGATTGATGACACTGGCTAGATGGCTTGAGTGTTCACACCATATACACATAAAAACAGCCCCAAAGATGAGCCAAATAGTTGATGATCTACCCGCTTTAAAGCCACACTAGTAGCACACGGCCAGATGTGACATGGAAGTGCATGAAAGCTGGTCCCATGTAAACGGTTCTATGTCTGATCGTATTGCGTCACTTGAACATTTGGACTTACCTGCATGTAAGTTCATTAACGATCTCGCAATCTTGTTGAAAGACTCAACCCATCAAACAACCTCTCCAAATATTTTGGAAACTTCTTTAGAAAAGCTCGAAAATTTCATATTCTATGTGATTCCACAGTACATAATGATCAGACCACTCACTTGCATTGTGCCTGATGAGTTCGAAACCCATCGCTGAATGCGGCGTTTTCGGACGGGCAACACTCTATGTACTTCATCCGTTTTACTTCTTTTTCCCGTTCAGTCTAGATGTGTTCGGTCCACAACGTGAACAATCGTTGACAAACTCCTTGTTAGATGCTTACGAAAACCGAGAGTCAGCGACGTCTACCGAGGTACCCGGATCGAAGGATATCTATTATGAAATCCCGGAGATCGGCCCAATTGTGCGTTGGTCTGAGGTTCTCGGTGGACACGTTGGACTCGTAAATGCCGTTTCGATGATTGCAGCAACTGATCGATCTTTCCCCTATCATATTCCACTACTCTACGCTTTCGAACCCGACCACGTTTGGGTACAAGCGTTGGCACCATCTCTGCTTCGGCGACATGAATCAAAAAAGAGGCAACGGGTAATTCCCTTCGGTTAGTTACTTATTGGGTTCTCGTTTTCCTCACTTTTGGGCTACTCCTGTTGTGTTGCTTATCTAGCCTGATCTTTTTTTGAATGCCTACAATCAACAGTTAGTGCCCGTTATACCAGACTTTCCTTGTTGGTTTTTCTGCTGGCTATAATCCACAAGTGTTACTGGCATGAAGGAAGGAATTGTTGGTCGATAGCTAGCGATTACCGCTAGTGTCCTTCTGCTCACGACGTGCGCTGCGCTGTTCATCTCCTCATTTAACTACTTAATTATCAAATTTTGGTTTACGAAAAAGAGACGTTAGCGCGCATTCTCGTGGAACCATTCTACTCCAACTGATCTGGCACGGTTGCCTGAAGAAGAGAATAAGATAATATTAATATTTCGGTAAAACGGGGTTTCACTTTCATTGAATATGCCTACGCATGATTTAGGTGCTTTAGCATTTTATTGACAATCAATCACAGTAAGAAAGCAGACTGCATCTGCTTTTGGCAACGATCCATCGCTGCATTGACTCTTAGTGGTGCTTAGCTGAAAATCGTCCAGGAATTCAAGCACATGGGCAGCTATACTAACGCCTGTGGAACAGAAGATGAGATAGTAAACCGTTTAACAAGAGTTCGAGGCGCCATTGATCGTCTCCACCACCTATGGTGCCAAGATAACATCACTTTCGCTCGGAAGAGCAGAGTTTACAATGCAGCCGTCCGTCCAACCCACCTGTACGGTTGCGAAACTTGGCTCATCAAGTCGACAGATGTAAAGATGTAAAGCTGCCTTCGCAGCTTTATGTCTGGTGAGAGCATTGATTGAGCAATGAGAATGTTCGGCGTCAGCAGTACGCCGGTACCCATTTCCGACACTTCGTAGCTGTACAACCACCATCAGTCGCACGTGGGCTAAGGATACTGTGAGAGTCACCCGGTCCCTACGTAGACTCGAACTGGCACCCTTGGACTACCATCCAGGCTTGTGCTCCTTAAGGCTACGGACCGGCGAGGTAGCGAACTGCTCAGCACCATTAAATCACCAACCAGGCTACGATGACTGGGCCACGTGTTGCACTTGCCAGCACACAGACTCCTTCGACGTGCATTGTTTGCGCACCGAGAGTGTGGATGGAAGATTATGAGGGATGATTTTGTCAAGAGGAATAAAGGCTCTCACTTCGAAGTGAACGTCAGTTGGTATCTCTCAACTGCTGTGTTGGTTTGGGACATCTGTCGATATGCCGAATTACCGACCCCACTGACGTTTTTGTTGTGAGGTTCTTTCTTCCTCCCCTTCCCGTTTTGCTTCTCCCTCCAAACACGACATCACACAGATTTACTGCGTTTATTCTATCGCAGCACACCGATCTGGCTATAGGCCGCAGTTCATTTCCTTTCAATTCTTCCAATGTACGTTTCTCTTCAGAATTCCCTTTGCCTGCTTACATGGATTTAACCTCAGTCCGATGGGACGGAGTTCCTGGGCTGGCCGGTCGAACCATGACCCTTGTGCTCACAAATAAACTGGACGTGATGGTCTACTCAACCCCGCCATTGTGAGTACTGCGCACTCAAGCCATGGTTTCACTTTATATTACGCAACAGATCGATAGTGCTCTCCTATGTTGAGTGCATCGCAATACTACTTTGCACTTTTGCTTTTCCGACGAACGGTTCCTCCAGAATATCTTGCCCTCTACCCTGTTACTTGATGCTTTCCCTGTATGTGTTGTGACCTTATCCACTTCGCTCCTTTAGTTTGCCATCAGCAGCCCTAGAGGATTTCACTGGCGAACAAGGAAAAGATCCATTTTTATTGCTACCGGGACAGTTTTGGCTGCCATATACGCCATGCTCAGAAGTTTCGCGCGATATGCAGATCCCGCTAAATTCCTGGTTTAGTGACGACACTCTACGAAACTCAACCGCCTGCCAGCGACCAAGACACAGCATCCACCAGAAGGGCGAGATACGGGTCAACAAAATGTTGCAAAAACGTCTGCTTCTTTCCCCCGCCGACGGCCCGTTCGCAGTGGATACACTCCAGTACGCGCTTCGCGAAACTGAGGTAACTGCTTGACACCTGCAAATCGTGTTATCCATCCGCCTTTGTTTTCACCCATGTATTTGTGTTGCATCTAAACATGCGGATGGTTGTCTCATGCACTAGGTCTCTCGCCCCGATGCTCACACACTTCACTGCTAACGCCCTTGTGTATAAGCCCGCTTGCACCAGTTTTCGGACGTCGTGTGTGTTTGTGTCTACAACATGACCTTGAGAGACTGGCTTGAGCATGCCCCTTAGCGAGTCATCCCATCTGTGGCCAGGACAAGTTAGCTCAATTCACATTTAACATCTGACTGTTCCCTACCCTCTGGTCTATTGCGTCCCATGCATTTTCTGAACTTGATCTCCTCAAGTAACTGCTTTCGCCCTTAGTTTTTGTCTTCTTTTCCGGGAGACATTGCGACCTGCGCTATTCTGTTTCATTATTCCAATCACACAACTTTTTCTTTGTTCTAGGTATTCCTCGACGAGATCCTCACCAACGAACCCTATGACCCTGAAGTTATCCTATCAGGTTTAACTAAGACGCGGCAGAAGTCAGTCTTGGTGAAGGCGCATCGTTGCACACCGGCCTCGCCAGATGAGCCTGTGGCGGAGTCCGACACGGATTTTTTTGTGGACATCTTCAATCCAAACTCGGCATGTCGATCTATCGTTGGGTTTGATGTTGTATTTCGGGGTGATGATTCTGCCCAGTGGCCTTTATTCCTCATGGTAAATTTGTCATTAAAATTGGACTGCAGCTTTTTAAAATTTTACTCACACCAACCGAGCGTATCCCTAATATCTGATCTGTTTGATGACAGTCCTATCCACTCAACACCGGCGTCACCTGCACTAGACCTTGGTCGCTAACTGGTATGAGTTTATCTATGATGATACTAGTTTTTCAACCTCCCACCACTTAGATAAAAGCTTGGCCTATCGGTCGGGTCTCTCTTGTTTCACTTTTCCCCACAGAGTTACTTATGTGGGAATGTTCTGCTCCCAGGCTGCGCTTGCAGATCCCATTTGTCTCCATGGTTTCGGGAATTCAGGACTTTCGTAACACTTTGCTTTGAGTGTTGTCACGTAACTAATCTGTCACCCGAAGGCTGTACACTTGGATTCCGCTTTGGTAGTTTCATTACCCGCACGCTGAAAGTCGTGCGAAAAAACCAAAAGCTCTCTCAAATCTTGATTGTTTATTTCTTCTGTCTCAGGCTAGTCTCCAAATCTATTGACTCTTGCCAATTCGGACTTTTACGCTTCAGAGTTGAGAGACATAACATGGAGCACATACTTGTAGTCCAGAGTACGACTTTAGTTTCCTTCGACGTACCATGTATATCCGCCGCTTCATGACTGGACTTTAACGTGATGCGATGGTTCGCGTACCTCTTCGGTCCGTTACGCTACGTGTATGGCACTTTCCAGGTGCCTTCAGAGCCACTCTTGTCAGCTAAGTCAATAGCTAGAGGTTAAATAACTCCCGTCTCAACATCGTCTTTGGAGCTTGACAAGTAGTCGATGATTCTCTGTTCAACAAATAGTCATGAGAGACAACACGTCACGCATTATAGGCTCACATCTCGATTGATGTATGGCACGAGGATGATGCTTTTTCTCTGACGACAGGAGAGCACCACTTGCTCCTCTTCTAGTTCCCTTTCATTTATACTCTCTTTGCGTTCTGCTTCCCTTTTTCACATTTGTTATCACGGGTATTCGAGTTGTGGAAACTGGATCCAACACGCTTCGGTGCCCCGGATCCTATTCCTTTGACTGAGCTAACTGTGCACTGACTGTGTTCCTAGATTTTATGTATCGCGGGACCAGCTACTTTCAGCTCGGAGAGCAGTGCTAAACACACACTAACCACCTTATTTCACCTTATCTTCGACAGTCTGAAGAGTCGAACCGAGCACAGTGAAGGTACTTGAATTCGATTAATCGAACTCTGTTCTAAAATCGCCGAGCGAAAGCAGTTGAAGATGTTGGATCGAATTCAGCGGTGCTATCGGTTTCACCGTTCCACCGTGACCACTGCCGTGGTTGGGGCTGAGGCTGTGTGTTCTATACCCTTTTCCGATTAATCGCATCCACAACGCTTTCTAATTTTTTCTTTCGAAAAATCATATTCCTCCATAGATCTCTAAACATGGTCCTTAATGCTATCTACTTGCATCGAACAAGCGCAAACGCGCCTAAAATTGCTCATTGTTCATGAAGTAACCAATCCTAAATCACAAGGTGTGATGTTTGGGATCGGTCATTCAACGAACACTAGCATTTAGGGGCGTGCGGGCCCCCTTTTTATGTAATTTTAAAGCATAAAGGATCATCTGGAGAGATCAGTGAAGGAACATAACTTCCTTAAGGAGGAATTTGCAAGCTCTATGTTTGCAATTGACTGAGAAATGGTATGGAAGACGGCAGCACATGCCAACGCAACAGTCCTCTAGTCAATTGCTTCATGCCCTCTTGACGACGCTCTATTGGTATCCCTTTGGTTTCACCAAAGGGCACCGTATTACAATATTTTGTACCGGTGATGCGATATCATATAAGGATAAATTAAGAAACACAATTCAGTTGCTCATTTTTTCGCCGAGCTGCGAAATTGGTTTGCAAACGTTTCACCGCCATGCGAGACGGCATCATCAGTTTACCAACCCATCCGACGGAGAGAACTTAGAGAAATTATGAGACGCCGCTTGAATAGGAACAACCCAAGCGACGACCTCCGCCACGGGGAAATGGGTAGAGATCACGGGACACAGATCGAAGCCGTCACTTTCGAAATGTCACCTGCACGCCGATCACGGGTCGACAATTCAATCAGCGAGATTACACTCCGCATCTCGACGCACTGATGATGCCGTCTCGCATGGCGGTGAAACGTTTGCAAACCAATTTCGCAGCTCGGCGAACAAATGAGCAACTGAATTATCAACCCGAGCTACCAGTTTTCCAAAACATTTTAAGAAACACAATGTTATAAATTGGAATGTGGCCTAGCAGAGACATTATTTACAACTTAGGCTGATTAAGCAAACGTTTGATCGCAGTACCTCAACACTCGTTGGATATCGTACGGACAGAAACATGTGGCTAACATAAGAGGTTGTTCCTTCACGGTATTCATTGTTTCGCGTCAGAATCAACCTTGCTCCATTGATACCCAAACACAGCAGGTACTCTGAACAAACAGTCTTATGAGCAGACAGTTGTGCACTAGCCAATGGTGCGAGTTTTCAACCATTTTCTACTCTATATTTTCAATCATGCGCTGAGTGAGTCGAATCAGCATCAGCCTATACATTTTCACATTCACTTGCATCCGTAACGAAATCAAATTCCTCCTTGAGCAAGTTTTGTTCTTCCATAGATCTCTCCATCCAACTGGCACGAACGCCAGTCAGATCAACATCAGTGTGCTTAGTATTCAGTAACATCATTGTCCGCGCTGACAAGCTGTCTCCCCTCAACGTCAAATTAATCAACATTGTTGAGCAGAATGTAGGCTCATCTATGCATTAGCAGTGAACAGGCAGGTCTGTGCGAACGAGAGAACTCCATTCTCCTCTGTTAACACTTGTTTGCTCATCAGATATACGGGTGTCACTCGGCTGTAACGTTAATCAACTGGCCACGATAAGGAAGACGTTACCTACCGGAGTCAGTTGTGTCAAGGTCTACTGGAGTGGCAGGGGCTTACCGGATATGAGCACTGCTGTGTCAGTATCTGCGATATACCGGGCGACTGTCCACTAACGAATGTCAGCAGGCCGTGCTCTCGACCATGTTGACATCTAATTACTTATGCACAATCGGACCCGAGGTTCTCCAAAATCAAGTTTGCTTGTGCATTACAAACCTCGGTGTAACATAGTAATCGTCCCCTGCTCTAAAGTATCGGGAACCTCTCTTTTGTACTTTCATCTATCCTACATAATTTGCCTTTTTGACCCATTCTGGCGTGGTGTTCTCGCCATCTATTTCGGGTCTCATCGAGCGACACAGGTTACAGTTAAAGTTAAATGCGGAGCAGACGCTCGAAATCATGTTGTGTAACACAAACCTTCGCGACAGAATCTTCTCTGAGTAGTACTTTCTATCCTTCTATTTCAGTTTCTTGGTCGCCGAGTCGAAAGGCCCTCACCTGCTCTGGAAGTTCGAGTGAAGAGGCTAAACGTTCCACTATACCGCTGTGAATGTTTGCTAAGTGATCGGATGTTGAGGATAGCTGGTGAGTTAACCAAAAGGTAGACTCTTGCGAACAGATTACTTGTCACTCATTTATACCATACCCTGAGATGTATTATCTGCACTATCTTCGTCTAAATGGCAGCTGTTGGAATGCTACTGCTCAAGCTAACTTCAATTTAATTTGCTAAGGTTGATCCCTTAACTGGTCTGAATGGTATCTCTTTTACTTCCTACTGGACTCCTAGTTGTTCTCTTGGATGTAAACGACGAAGCAAGGCGTCCGGCTAAAGCTAGTACAAATCTCTTCCCATCAATGGAAGTCACTTGATGAGATGACGGTCTCAGAATGGAACAACCACGTTTGTTTGATAATCCGTTCTTAACTATGCAAACTACACACCCAACGTGCCAGAACCTCTGGACTCAGAGGTGCTTGGATGATCCCCGTGTTAGCTGTGCGAATTCTACCGAGCTCGGACCAGATTTAAGCCTCTGATTTCCTTCCTTCTTCGTTTTATTTCTTTCGACAGCCATCTCACCCAATTTGAAGTATCGTAAGCACATCCTGCATCCTTAGGGCCTTCCAAACTATAAGACAGAGTGATACACCTGTCACAACTACGTAATTTTAAATGCATTTCTGTTTTGGCCTCCTCTATAATCGTAACTAAAGTGATGCAACGAACGGAAACAATGATTTCCGCAACGGTGTAAGCACCTCGAATTTCATGGTACCCGATCGCGCTCAGCCAGCTCCTCTGCCCCATACTTCCACCACCTGCGGCACCGGCAGTTGAAGTAGCTCACCAATTAAATTGGAGCTTCAAATATCTGTTAGTCAGACCCACTCAGTGCAGTGATAGGAGACAGCCGCGCCGAAATCCTCCACTTTGGTTACGGTCCCAGTAATCAGAATGGCACAGGTTGACTTCAAAGTCAGTTGAAACCACAACTGAGATTGCATGGTGCAATCCCATACACACGGCGGGTGCTCCAAAGCCCGAAAACTAGACACACTCACTTACACTTGCGAGGATCTTGCTGCGATGAACTTCCGGCTGTTAGACTTTTGTGGCTAACCTTTTAGTCAGGCACACTAATAACTTCAATAGTGAAGGCGTCGCAGCGATACATTTCCAGCTGGGATTGATCCGCATTTCTTTCGGACAACTGACCGGTAAACATTTTTTGGATTCTTTCTCCAATGTGTTAGTCACCTAGCCCATTTCTTTACCAACACTGTCGTCGTTTTGCACAACTTAGTGTTTATCGTCTCACCTATTGCGCAGTATGTGTTGATTATGCCCTGAGGATCGAATAGTTACAGCTCATTCCTTTAGTTCTATTTTCCTCTTGACGCATGCGTCATTACTTAAATATTACACCTATGTTGCCCGCTTAGGATTGGTTGCATTGGGCATTTTGTGGTATATGTGTGTGCACAACAGGGTGTGTTCTTCCTTAAGTGCTCACGTCTGCTTGGAACTCCTTGTGAGCGATGCTGAGGTCCGCCAGTTGATTTTGGGCAAGAAGCCTTCTGATGCCTCAGTTGGGTGTTTAGTTAATCTTAATCGCTTACTTTGGTTAGGCTATGTCGTCCATATTCCCGTTGACCACCTTCCTTGGTGTGCATTATACGCCGTGGCTGCACCAATTTGGGTGAAACTGCGGTGGCCAGTCCGTGACATTGCATAGAGACATGAAGAAATTGACTGAGAGACTTTGTCAGACTGATGCATTGCGTCTTCGTGGATAGGGGTCTCGGGATGATTCACGCCAATGGTCAGCGACCGTTTCAGACATGGTGCCGTCAATGGCGTTCGCGCATTCGGTTTCTTTTTTCTGGTTGTTAATTCTCGTTCTATTTTGATTAGACTAACGTACTTCCTTGCTTTCATTTTTTTGCTTTTAACCCCACTGTCTTGTCGTTGCTACTTGTTGTTATTCTTGCGATGCGAGCCGTGACAACTGGACCCACTTCACTTCGGTGCTCGAATCATAATGGTTCAACAACTGAACTGTCTAGGGCGTTATCCACATCAACCAGGTGTTTAACTTCGTTTCTGTTTGCTGTGTTGTCCATCATCCACTCTACACCAGTAGAATGCCAAAATCCTTGCTTGGACTACAAGGGCCTTGGTGTCATCCATTTAGTTCCGCTTATTACCACCAACGTTGATTCTGGCCGTAGACTAACTAGTGGCGATCAGACAGCTGACAGGACAGTTTTTATGGCTAACCCAGCTGTCTAGTGAATGTGACTCGGTAGATAAAAACAGCCCTATCTTATTTATAGGAATTTAGTGTATTTCGACTCAGCTTTCGAGAGACCAGATTAAATCCATACCGAAAATTGGCCTACTCTGACACTTTGCAGCTACGAAGCTCAGCGCATGGGATCTTTTTCTTTGGGCGTGGTTAATTCCATCGTTATTGAAGCGGATTTCAATGTTTTGGACCATTCCATTTGTGTGGATTGACTCAGTCGCACTTGAGGCACTATTTGAGGTATACACGAATACGGCATTTAAGCGTCAGACTCATTGCTGCGAGACTTCCCTTTTGCAATTTCTTCATTGACAGCGAGTTCCATTCTATCACGTTTACAACTATTGTCGTGCACCCTCCGAAATAGCTGACTAGGCCACAATCTTCAACTCGGTGACTCAATACCTCATTGATTTGTGTCAGTTAAAGGTGGTTTTTTGCCTACTCTTTACATTCGTCGCGCTTTCTGATGATTGTCTCTGTGCGATATTAACCTTAATAGAAAGTCGCCATTTCAACTGTGAGTCAAAAAATTGCCATCGACTGTTGAGTAAAGAGGTCTTCATATATACTGTCACGGGCTTTCCTACAGTTTGTTGGCCTGCAGACTTGCTGAGCCCATTGGCGCCCGTTACGCCGCCAATCAGTTGATAAATTCCTTTTCCTCTGACGAGGACAATCCCCAAACGTCAGACGCTTAATATGCGGAAAACGTTTTAACCGAAGGAAATGCTCAAGCTTTTTGCACCATTTCGCTCCATATCGTTATACTACATGTAGCATAAGCGATCTTTTCTCTTCACTAATATTCTCAATTTTAGCAAATCACAACCAATAACCAAAAATCTCAGCAATAAGTCACTAGCCATTATACAGTGCTTTATATGCCACTCATTGGTGTGGTTCTAGAGGCGTCAACTAGAAATCTACACGTCCAGAGATCGGATCGCTGTCCTTCACGTAGCGTCTAGGGTTGCCAGCGGACGTCTGGCATTTTTTCCCTTGCATATGCTGTCACTGTGACCGAACACATCTTGACGCACCTCGACGTAGCTTGCCGTCCAGTCTGAGGTATTGTGTCACAATCCATACACATAGAGAGCTCTTCAAATAAACCAACAATAAAACAACGGACTCACTGTGGCGTCTGTAAATCGCACCTATCAATCGACGGGGCCGCGTAAGCTAGTGGCTAGTCCACAACTGTTGGCCCCATTGGTTGGCACCCGCAGCATGCGACTGGCATTCGATCGGCTGCTCGCTTTGGTTCTCAGAATCGGTCTGTTCACGCTCCGTTTTGCCTCTTGCACCACGTGAACTTATTTCACAGTATTATATTGGCCTCTTTTGGAGCTGATATTCCCCCGTTAATGCTCTAATTCAGATATCATGCGGGAGAGCCATTCCCCTGGAGCCAAGTGCTGGTTACTCCGCTTTGCAAGTGTGCAGTCTATGTTGTAATTCCTCGATAGCTTCTCTGTACCATTCATTACAAATGAGTAGAGAAGACAACTAGTGATCCTATAACCTTTTACTTCTGGGGGATCGACATCTGTTGAAGTACGCGCAACTGCAGATGGATATCAGCTAATCCTGACACTGGCAGTGTAGCTAATCCATCAAATTGCGAGCAACTGTGATGAATTTACCCACCGTTGCTGTGAAATACCACGCAATCTGCACTGTGTTTTTTTTTAAATTTTCCTCATAGTGGGAGCGAGTGTCCACAAAGCTGATAAACCTGGTATCGAGATGATTACAGTCTACACCGCGAGCAAATCTGAGCTGCCTGAAGTCTGGGAATCGGAGAAGAAACATAAACTCAGATCATCAACACCATCAAATAAGTCATCAAGTATGTTCAGTGTGTCATGAAGTGTTTTTGACTTCACTTTTGCTAATTCATATATCAACAATTCGTACACCTTTTCAAAGTGTCCATATATTTTATTCATTTCCTGGGGACAGCAATGCATACGAATGCGGCTTACACGATTTCAGATGGTTTTGCTTCTTGTTCACATTTTGAAGTCGATTTCCGACCCTGCTCTGCATTCGTTTGTTTAAGCAGATACTGCTCTGAGGGATCATTTTAAAACCGACATTGTGTGTATGCACTGCGACACCCAATCGCAGTCCAAGATTTTTCTGTTCCATCAGTTACGGTCCCAGTGACAGTATGGACTGGCGTTCACTTCAAGGTGACTTGCGGCCCAGATTGCAATTGCGTACTGCAATCTGTTAAAAGGATACGCACTGGACACGCATCTTTTGTGACAATTCCTAGTTATCGGCTCTCATTTTCCTATAGTCCGTTTCTTGGTACTTGTTTACATGTTCCATCTCTTTAGTTTAATTTGCATGCATGCGGTATTCTTAATGGATGTCTATCACAGCATTCCAATTTCCTTGGACACACATGTTTGGTTCTTATTAAATCGTTTCTCATTCGCCTGTGTCACTCAGCGACGCCTATGCTGTTGGTTGGATCCGATGAGTTTTAGTATAGCTTTGCTTCTGCCACTATTTGTAACCTGTATAGGCGAACTAACATTATCATGTATGCAATTCTATCCCGGCTCGTCTTTCGTGTTCCCATTGCAGTCGCACGGTGCTAGCGGTTGGTGGGAATACAACGCAATTCACTCACACAATGTGTATTTCGAAGAAATCCCACTTACTCACTGAACCTTGTGACAAGCGTTTCCCGCTGCCAAACGGTAGCTTTGGGGTATAGCTTTCGACCGAAACGTAGTCCTGTCATCTCTGCTTGCTAGGTTCACCTGCGTAGACCTTTGGCCTTCGACAATACATGTTTGCGGCGAATAGCCCGTGCAAGGAAAGTGCACAGTCTTCATCTTGACTGGCTTTGTCTACGCAGAATTCGTTTTAAAGATGCTCTTCTTAGGATCCTGTATAGTTCATTCTCTCTCTCTCTCTCTCTCTCTCTCTCTCTTGTTCTCAAAGGCCCTTTAGCTAACGTTTTGGCAGATGGGCAGCAGCTTCCATTCGCAAGGAACTACGTGTATGTGGACACTGCCAACACGGAGTTGCCTGCATCTGTCCATGTGCTTGGACACTTGGCGATGAACTTTACCTTGAATCCCCCCAGGTCACTTGACACAGCCTTCGCATTAGTGACCTCTGTGTGCGACCTGCTTTCCGCGACGCTGCTTCCACTTATTGAGGACACAAGTGGCAAAACGGTAAGCCATCGAATCTGTATGTATCTGCATTCTTTAGCTGAAACCACAAAACTAGCATGTATGGCTTGCGGCTTGCATCAGTTGCGTATTTTCTGCGGTCTCCTAATCTGACTGTTTGTTCAAAGTGTGTCTGTTGCCGAGTTATCTGCGCAGTGATGGCTGTTAATGATGCGAAGTAGCGAAAGCCGCAATCAGCCTTTCTTGCCGATTCCACAATAGCCAGCTGTCTTTGGCCTTGTTGATACGGTGTAGGTATCTTTACCTGAATGTTTGGAACGGTACTTGCTCATCTATAAGGTAGACTTCCGCCAAATGCTAACATGTCGTCCACCTACTGCGCAACTAAATGAACGCTTTCTGTGCATTAACTTTGTTTAGCCCGGTCCATAGCCTAATGGTAGCAAGCTTGTCTTGTAATCTGGCGGCGCGGGTTCGAACCTGCGTAGGAGCAGGACAACCCTCGCAGTATCCTTAGCCTACGTGCGACCGGTTGTGGTTGCGCGGCATCGAAGCGTCGGTACTGCATACCGCCGTACGGCTATGCATTTTTTGCCTCTGAGGGCGAGATACGGAGCCAGCGGCCAACATCTAGCCAATTGGAGTATCTTTGGGTACACCACCAACCCGACTATGCAGAATGCTGCTAGATCGAAGTTGAACGACTCCGGGCCCAAGACGACCAGCAGACTTAGCTTCAACTTGATTGCGTATGGAAACGACAATTGCTTGACGTCAACTACCCTTGTTCTGTGCCTTTGCAAACGACTGTTATTTCGTCTTACCCTCACATGAGTTCACGAATCTGTTCGCAGGAAGCAGGTGAAAACATGACACTATAGGTGGTGCGCGCATAACACGAGACATTGACTACGGTGGGAGATCCATGAATCGACTTGCTGTAAGACATCAAATAGAGAAGTGCAGGCAGTTGAATTTCCTAGATAAGAGGCATTCGTGCTCTTCTATTACTCTGAAATCAGGACAGCTCATAATTCTTGCTGCGCCCTCGCCAGAAAGCAACTGCATCTATGCTCTCAGACTGGCGGTGCGGTTGCATCACTTTCCAGCCAAATCCATCATGCACAGGTTATCCACGGAACTTGTAACTTTACCGCGTGTTTTGTTTCTATCCCATACTTGTAGTGGTGGGTTGATCTTTCCTAAATGGGACAGTTGTTTGCATGGAGTTTGCGGAATATACCACCTAGCTAAACCACGAAAATACTTCCAAAACCTTTCAGGTCTGATGACATGGTAACGAACGGATTGTGCGTTGCGGGATAATCATCATAAGCCGTTTAAAATAACTAAGGTATGGGCACCACTCCCCCATCTCACTTCCGAGTTTTTTCTAGCTCCGCGACCAGAGCTTGAGCTGTACAACCAGAACGGACTCGTGGCTGGCCTTTTTTTTACTTCGGTTAGGATATTTGACCCCCGATCCTCCAAACTGTGCTGGTTGGAATAACTTAAGTCTTGACCTAACCATGTTGATGTGAGCCGCTTGCCTTTGATGTCCTTCCCACGCACGTGAATTGCTCCATTAAATGTGAGTGTGTGTTCCTGAGGAGAATGCACAAACTAGCTCGGTTCAGCTTCAGTTTGATTCCATTTCAACTTGCCTCAGACTGAACTCATTTGCAAACTGTAATAGTAGTTCGAATGAACGAAATCAACGAGGGGCCAGAAAACGGGAAGCCAATCAAGCGTTGCCCATATGAGCTGGTCACTATCACGGACCGATGTACGAAAGAGGGGTTCGGCCTATCTATTGTGTCGCCAAAAACTGCACCAACCGTGTCGGGAGTGAAAACACTGGACAAGGAGCTACAACGTGTGTATTCTGGTGAGACCACGAACGGCGTGTATGTCGGGCAATCAAGGTCACACTCACATGCGCTTCGATCGGTGCGATCAATGATTCAATCATTAGGTCTAGCGTTAGCAGTGTTGTGCGCGTGATAGATTGAGCGAAACGTGTGCGTGTCGGGAACGCAGTGGACACATGCATGGGTACAATTCAGTGAAGTGAGAAAGTTAACAATGGAATACTAAACAGTAAAATGGCTACAACAAACATGGTTCACATGATGAACGGCTGCACACTGCTGTCCTAACACCTCCCTCCTTTAGAGAAAATTGGATAGCATGCTACATTTGATTCATATGCTCTACACCTTGGGTTAACCACTAGTCTTTGCACTGAGGCTCTGGTGCGCGTTGAATACCTTCGGTTTGTTGATGCATTCTCCGTTTGCGCTACAGGTTCTTCTGATGGGCCCAGTTGATACGTGTCCAGCAAAATGTCCAGTGGTAAAGAAGTTTCCCGACTCTGGGAAGTCCCTTGCACTTCAACACGGGGTCTAATATGATTCGCGTGTCTAGTCCATATGACAGAATCTACTGGTATTTTGTACAAAACACCTGAGAGTCGTTCAACGATACGGCCAGGAATCCAGGATGACTTTCCGTCTCGAAAATTCTTAACGTATACAGTGTCACCAGGCATGAAGTGCCGGGGGCGTGCTCCATGATGGCGATTAAATGCCAACTCCATTTGAGCATTGCGTTGTCCGTTGTTTTGCACTGGCTTCAAAGCATCAAGCACGGTTCTGACGCGCCTACCGAGAAACGCTTCGAATGGAGATAGGTTTTGTGGTACTGCTGGGCCTGGCGTAGTACGGTAAATCTGCAAAAATTTGTCAATGACTTTTTGGATGTTCCCCTCTCCCTCCATTTTAATCAGCGCTCGCTTGAACGTATCAACGAAACGTTCAGCTTGGCCGTTCGATTGCGGATGGTACGCTGGGCTGCGGATGTGTTCGATGCCATGAGAATGGCAAAAGTCAGCAAATTCTTGGGAAGTGAATTGCGAAGCATTGTCTGAAACAATTTTTTCGGGAACTCCAAATTCTGAAATGAGGTGACGTAGGTGTAGTAAGACAATAGAGGTAGTTGCGTATCTTGTTTGAAAAATTTCGGGCCACTTTGAGTAAGCATCGACAATTATCAAGTAGTGGAATCCCTCTATGGGTCCGGCAAAATCAATATGAATGCGTGACCACGGTCCATTTGGGATCGGCCAAGAATGAAGTTCGCATTTTACAGGTAATTTTGCTGCCATAGCACAGCTGCTGCAGGAACGAACAACATTTTCAATATCTTGGTCCATAAATGGCCAATAGGCATAGCTGCGTGCTATGGATTTCATACGACTGATTCCTGGGTGACCTTCGTGGAACTGGCTGAGAATGCGCCGCTGCAGCTTGGTAGGAATCACAACTCGATCGGCCAGCATCAGGCATCCATCAATGATGGTTAAGGCGAAACTCCTTTTACGAAGCTGCTCAGCATAGCAGTCCAAGGGGCGTGATGGCCAACCAGTGTTGAGGTATCTCATAATACGTCGTAACAAGGGGTCTGTTGCCGTTTCTGCTCTGACTGCCTCCGCTGTTACTGGTAGTTGACGTACACATGTTTGGAATACTTGTCTGATCTCAGGATCTACGGTAATGCTTGATACAACACTGTCTTCATCTGGGGTTTTGGAGGTGCACTCTGCAATCAGTCTTGATAATGCATCAGCATGACCGAGAGAAGACGTGCTTTTAAAACGTAAATCGAAATCGTACCCCAAAAGAGTGGTGGCCCAACGTTGCAATCTATTTGCCGTGTGAACAGGGATTCCTCGTTTGGTACCGAAGATAGACAGCAAAGGTTTATGGTCGGTGTACAAAATAAATTTACGCCCATGTACCATCTTATGAAATGTCTTGACCGCAAAAACCAGGGCTAGTCCTTCTTTCTCGATTTGACTGTAATTCTTTTCCGCTGCTGTCAACGCGCGGGAAACATGCATCACAGCCTTTTGATGTCCATTTGGGAATTGATGCAACAAGACACCACCAATGCCGTTTTGTGATGCGTCAGCTGCAACAATTATTGGTAATCCTGGGTCGTAATGAGTTAAAAGAAGATCGGAGGACAATATCTGTTTAATGTCGTCAAAGGCTTTCTGGCATTGTGGTGACCAATTCCACACTGACTCATTTGCCAAAAGTGCATTTAGTGGGGCCCGGAGTTCATGCATTTGAGGGACAAAGTTGTGATAATAGTTAACCAAACCCAAGAAGGACTGCAAAGTAGCTTTGTTCGTAGGGTGTGGCATTAACTTGATGGCTTTTATTTTGTTCGGGTCAGGTCGACGACCGGAACTGTCAATAATGGAACCAAGGTATGTGATACTGGACATCATAAGTTGGCATTTCTCGGGACGTACACGAAATCCATATCCATCTATCCTGGAAAATACTTCGTTCAGGTGCGTGTAATGATCTTCAGCAGTAGAGCTTACGATTATTATATCATCCAAGTAAGCCATTGCGCACTGTAAACCGGATAACATTGCGTCCATCACTTGTTGAAAGATTGCTTTAGCACATTTTACTCCGAAAGGCAATCGATTGTAGCGATACAAACCTCGATGAGTATTAATAGTGAGCAGTTCTTTTGAATGATCTTCGACCACTACTTGTAAGTATGCATCAGAATGATCAATTTTTGATAAGATCTTCCCTCCATTAAGCCTTGTGAACAAATCCTCGGGAACAGGTAAAGGATAGTGATGCGTTTCCAACGCGTCATTTAATCCGGTGGAAAAATCTGCACAAATGCGCAAACTGCCATTAGCCTTTCTGATGACTACAATAGGAGCGGCCCACGCTGAGTAGGTCACAGGACTGATAACGCCCATAGACTCCAGTCGACTAAGTTCAGCATCCACTGCCGCAGCGGCAGCGTATGGCACTGGTCTTTTGGGACAAAATACTGGACGTATACCGGTGCGCGGATATAACACAGCTTTTAGCTTACAGCACATTCCAAGACCCTCTGCGAAAACATTAGGGTACTTAGAGGCGAAGTGTGATTGAGCTTCCGTGCTGTTTTTAAATGTTACAGGAGCAACAGAACAATGAAAATCCGTGGGACAAAGTGAAAAATTATCTGAATTATCACAAATACTGTTCAAAGGTATGCTCCATAAATCAAGTTTGTCTATCCAATCAATACCTGACAAGTTCAAATGTCCATAGCGTGTAACATAACAAACACCATTAGCATGCAAGTTACGAAGTGAAAACTCACAACTGAACTGTCCAAGAAAGGGCAATTCCGAGCCGGACGCGTCGTGAGCGACGTGCGAAGTTTGAACACATGCTGGTTTACCAAGTTTGCACCATGTTGACTCAGAAATTATCGTAATATCAGAAGCTGTGTCCAACTGAAGGCAAACAGGAACATGGTTTATCATAATCGTAACATACTTCCGCAATGACTGATAGTTTGGGCTGGTGGTTGCAAACACCACATTTGAAACACAGCGTTGAAAATTCGGAGTCCTGGCGAGGTTGCGTGACTGTCTTCCAAGAGCATTCTGCAAACATCTGGTTACCTTATGTCCCACCTTTCCACAACGCTTGCATGTATGTTGTCTGAATTCACAAAATCGAGCAAAATGCCATTGACCACAATGCCAACAAGCACTAGGCGGACGGTTTCGACGTGTGAAGTTGGAGGATCGCACCGAATAGTACGATGGTCTGGGACCTGTAGGAATGGCATGAACATCAACCACACAAGGCTCGTTGTGCCGTTGGATCATTTCTGTGTCATGTTTCAGCGTCAGTAGACGTTCACATTCCTGTACTAGATCCTGCAGTGAGATATCTGGATTACATTCCAAACGAGATAACAAGCGCGTACGGATCTCCGCATCTTTCGGAGAACGTAATCCACAAACAAAAATGAGCGTTTTGAACTGATCACTAGTGAGTGTGCTAAGCTGAAAACGTTCACATTCCCTGTTAACAACTGCTGCGTAAGTCACAAAATCATCATCCTGCTGTTTAACAACTTGAAAACATCGGAAACGTGCATTGAAAAGTGACGTTTTAGGACCAAAAATTCTGGTTAAGTTTTTCACCGTGTCGTCCAGGGACAAATCACGTGGGTTCTTTGGTAGAATGTAGTTCGCGTACTTCTCATACTCTTGTGAACCCAATTTCCTCAAAAGAAGGCGTACCTGTGCCGCATCGCCTAATCCACGCCCATCAATTTTTAACAAGTCCTCATAACGACGAAACCATGCTTCAAAAGTGAGGTCATCGTCTGGTTGGTAACGAAATTCTGCCATGCTATGCGCCAACTTGTCTGCAGTGGAAACCGTCGAATCCGTAGATGCTGGATGTAACGACATCCGTGCTGTCAATGTTTCAATTAAGCGCTGTTGGGACGCTTCAAACTGTGCTTGCTGTCGGGATAACACTTCTTGAAGATATTCCAAGGGAATCGCCATTGCTCACAAAATAGAATCCCACCTCCGTCACCACTGTATTGTGTCGCCAAAAACTGCACCAACCGTGTCGGGAGTGAAAACACTGGACAAGGAGCTACAACGTGTGTATTCTGGTGAGACCACGAACGGCGTGTATGTCGGGCAATCAAGGTCACACTCACATGCGCTTCGATCGGTGCGATCAATGATTCAATCATTAGGTCTAGCGTTAGCAGTGTTGTGCGCGTGATAGATTGAGCGAAACGTGTGCGTGTCGGGAACGCAGTGGACACATGCATGGGTACAATTCAGTGAAGTGAGAAAGTTAACAATGGAATACTAAACAGTAAAATGGCTACAACAAACATGGTTCACATAATGAACGGCTGCACACTGCTGTCCTAACACTATCACAAACAATGTACACTGCATTTTGAACCATGGGGAGTATTGGGCCCCTGTTTGACAAAGGAACAAATGAAAGGCGTATGAACTGAGCAATCAGTCACCGGCTCCCAATGGGCGCGATTCCCTGAATTCGCTCAGCTGCCTTGCGGGCAGGCTATTCAGCCAAATGCTCGGGGTGGTGTCCCCTAAGTCAATACCCTACTTCGGCTTGGGCAATCGGGTAGTATCTCGCCCTCTGAGGAAACCATGGACATTGTTGTGTTGTGTTTTATTTTACTGTTTCTATACCTTCGTTTGAATCCCATGGTTTCTGATGGCATTATGTCTGTTAGCAGACTTTTGCAAATATATATATATATACATATATATATATATATATATATATATATATATATATATATATATATATATATATGGTGCCGGTTTGCTCCGGCGACAGGGGTCGAAGAGCGCGCGCGCGCGCACCGACAACCCAAGGTTAACGCCAGTTGTGATGACAACTGGCCACCTTGGTGAACTGAACCTCTCTGATCTAGCAAATGGAAACGAATCAAGTACCACCCATATGAGTTGACCATAATTGCGCGGGACAGACCCATTATGCGTCTATTTGACTGCGCCTCGGATGGGACACAATAGATGAACACAGCGTATTGATCAATGAACAAGGACAAACGGTATAAATCGCGCCAATGAGAAATGGCCATTGAATGCTATAACAACGGAATAGTTTTCTAAATTTATATACTGTATAACTAATCCCACGGTTCATGATTTCTCCCCGAGTCCTATTTTAATTCTCCGAGGTCCGCATGACATAGATGATAGCTAGTTTCGCTCATTGAGCACGGAATTTCTTGTGCTTCCTCACCGTTTTTTATCCAAGCCATTTTCTCAACTTTCTCTCAGTTCATCCATGGTGTCCCCCTACGACTCATGCTCGCATCGATCAAGGATATTTTCGAAAAGGATAGAGCGAACCGATTAAAACATCCGGTTGGGATTTTACCCCTTCTGCAGCCTTTGCGTGTGTTACGGAATCAGGCGGAGAGACTACTACATCATATGCTATCAACGTTCACTCTGATGCAACCTGTACAGATTGACTGTTCGATGTTAGTTCAATGTTTGCTCAATCTGTTCTCTGTCATCTACTTAGTGGAGCAAAAGTTGGATGCATCTTCAAGTATGACGCTTTCATCAACTCTCAGCCAACCATGTTCTCAGGCGGTACAAACGGCGGTAGATTCTTTTTTGGAGCGCAAACAACATGTTCTGGCTCAATCTGACTGCCGTATTCAACCACTGTTCAAACAAATTCGTCACTTCTGCTCTTTCTTGTGTCGCCTGTCTTCTGCCGACCCGGAGCTATTTTCACGATACATCACACAGCATAACATAGTTGGCCTGCTCCTGGCGACACTATCTGAGCTGGATCCTCATTTCGCTTTAACTGCTCCCCCAAGTGGACCGCTGGAAGCAGTGCAAAGCAACGCGACGAGACCGACCAACTTCCAGCACTCGAGGGACACTGCTGCCAGCCTGCGACAATGTGTCATGTATTTGATTCGGACTCTACGCGAGTTGGTCACCTGCTTAACATTGGACTTCAAGCCTAGTACATTACACGAAACCAACCAGTTTAGAGATCCAGAAAAACAAAGCGTATTCTCCGCCCTGGTTCACCTACTGTCTCACGAAAATTTAGTCGTAAGTGCTCACATTGTCTTTTAATGTGTCGTTTTCTGCACATGCACGTTAACTATGTCCCCACTAGTCGCAATAGGTTTTCATAAACGGCTGATATTTATCCACCGTGTGACTTTTGTGATACCTTTTTCCTTCTTTGGGGGGGGGGTCATTTGGAAACATTTGTTGTATGAGGACGGATTGTGGCACACAATCTGGAGCCAATATCTATCCACTTCTGCCTTTATTGGTGGTTGATCTTTGGGATAGGCGATAACTTATCGTGTTGGACAGCGCATCGGAGACAGGAGCCTGAGATGTTTCCCTTACTCATATTCAAGTGCATGAACTACTCAAAATTTGCGATTTGCACGAGAACTTGTCGAATTGGTTAGTTCAGGATATCATACCACTTAACGTAAAGGGACACCCCGTTGGCCAAATGCGCCCCAGAGTTGCCTGCATCTATTGGCTCCGGCTACACCTTCTGCAGACCGGTAACCACGAACATAATTGTACATTGCTTATGCTGCACGACTTGCATTGTCCGAATAGTGTGAAGCAGCTTAAAAAATGATAACCAGCAGGTCAGCCTGTTGCGGATGACACGAGTCCTCAGGTTGAATATGCCATCAAAAATTAGCAATCTTGGCTTATATACAGTGTCACAATACTATAGACTGAACAAAACAGGCTAACGAAGAACGCCAGAAAGCTGCACAGTCATTGTTACCAACAAAATCTGAAGGTGCTGAGAATTTTCACCAGACGGCTACACGAGAATCTCATATTGACTGATCTCAGTCGTAATATGGCACCACTTACTGTAGCTCAGTTATAACACCAACCTCAGAGTTAATCGCTTGAAACTGAGTGAGCAATACACTCGTCTAACGTATCGGTAGAATCTGCACCTTATCTCGGGTCTGTCAACATTGGAATGTTTTTCCAAACTCAGTGTTTTTTAATTTCATCTAAGCTTTTTTCGCAAAACGATTGGATATTGGTGCTTTGTGGCGTTTGAGTTGCCATCTCCAATCAGCGTTCACACCAGCATCGATCGTGTGCGCCTGTCTGTCTATCGATTACCCACTTACGTGTGGTTGGCTTCAGTTGCTTGTTCGATGCTCCATACCCCGTCTGGTCAGAATGCACATTTGCACGTGGTCAGCTAGCCGTTCGGCTGTGAGAAGTGAATGTCAGCAAACACCGCAGTCGTAATCGACCTGTCACGCGTGGATCGCAGGGCAAGACCAAGGGAACGCACGCCGTTCGGCTGTGAGAATTATACGTGAGCCCGACATCACAGCCACACTGAACGTGGCATGCTTCGATCGATCGGTAGTCGGTGAAAAAGCAGCAATAGGGTTCCCTGTGACGTGGTTAGTGGGTCACTGTGCTAGCAATTGAGAAAAACAGCCTGGTCGTATGTGATGACCGGTCGATGGGTGCTGTATTGCTATCGCCACAAAAGGTGTTATCGTCTAATAAACGGCTTCCAACAAACCCGCAAGCTTTTATTAGGCAGCTTTCGCTGCTAAAGGGAATCGTACTGCCAGGAGCACATTGTAAGGTTACAGTGTTGTTCGCTTTATCGTTTCGATCGCGTGTGTGTAACAGCTGAAAATTCACTCTTCGTGGATGCATAACAACGAATTCTTGTCCTAACTTGACATGACTGCTCTTAGATTTCAGCCTGTCCCGACGCGCTGGTGGCATCATTAGACAGCACAGAAATTTAGTCATGAATGCAACTATTGCTTTCACAGTCGGACAATTGCTAGTTGTACAAATTGATCCGGCCCTCAATGGTGTTTCCCATGTACAATGGAGGATATGTTTTTACTCATTCTTTACTTATATTTAAATAAAGCGTATCGGTTTGTTGGGAGCCAGTCATGAGGAGATATTAGCTTTTGTGCCGATAGCAATACGGCGCCCATCGACCGGTCATCACATACGGCCAGGCTCTTTATCTCAATTGCTAACGCAGAGACCCACCAACTACTTCTTAGGGAACCCTTCTGCTTACTTTCTCATCTGCGTGAACGCCGACTACCGATCGATCGAAGTATGGTAGGTTCACTGCGGCTGTGGTGTCTGGCTAACGTTCAGTTCTCACAGCCGAACGGCGTGTGTTCCCTTGGTCTTGCCCTGCGATCAACGCATGACAGGTCGATTGCGGCTGCGGTGTTTGCTAAAGTTTAATTCTCACTGCCGAATGGCTTGTTGAGTCCTGTGATCGTAGACACACATATCGCGTCTCTGTGTCCCATATCACTCCTGCCGGCAAAGCAGTTTGCGCCATTGGTTAGTTAGCAATTCAGCGTACCGGGGTACGTCTGCACCTGAGAGCAGCCGCTTTTGTCATGATTTTAAAGCTTATTTTCTCCGTTATGCACAACCGATTTGAATGAAACTTTCAAATGCTCATATTCCATTCATTTGTTCGAATCTGACATCCGCGTTTGGTGGAAGAAATGCCTGTCGCTAGCCGAGTGCTTGATACTCAACATATCGATATGTCGGCATCGAAATGTAAGTTAATACATGGTTAAAGGTATAAGATTCGTCCGATTAACTCTTAGAAGTTCAACCAACAGCATCGATATGGCTGGGCATTCATCTCGCTTTACGGACGTGCGTTTTACCTATAAGAATAGCAAACGTTACCAGTTTGCATGAAAAACTATTGAACGCCCGAGTAGTGGGGAAGATGTCGGTGTAGGGGAGGTAATGAGCTCGTGAACAAATGTTAACACACTTGCTCAGTTTTGTATTGTTGATCAAAACGATGTAGCTAACGAAAAGTGGACTCTATTTGCCTTCGCTTTTCGGCATTCTGTGGCGAAATGAATTCGTCGAGGTGGTTATAACAAAGTAAGGGCAGAAATTAATTGTGCAGCAGAGACTGGCGATGAAAGTCGATTGAAACTTTCGTTTTCCGCTCCCTTATAAACATGAGCGCCTCCAGTTAAGCATGGTCACATTCTTGATTACTACAGGTCTCTATTAGCACAACAATGTTGCATTGAGTTAGTCCACCTTATAAAGAAGTGCTACTAGTGATGCTCCGTAACCTCTTCTAGACCAATTGTATCCACGGGCTGTTGGGAAGCGCGAATGATTTTCCTTCCCTGTTGCATTAGCTACGACTTTTTTTCCAATCAGTAAGTAGTTACATTGTCAAATGTATTACCTTCATTCACTTAGCAACCATTACATCTCGAGGACGCTAGACATTAATCTGAACGCCATTTGTGCTCTACACACTGGTGGGGCCGGTGGTACAACCGCTGGAACTGGTCGATCGGTTTACTTATGTGGTGCACCCCCTGCCTGTGCCTACATCTTTAGGACTATTTATTGTTGGTATCTTTTGTTAAAACCACTTGAACGCTTCTTGACACTCCCCACTACCCAGTTACTTTTCTTCTTGTTATATTGTAACTAGATTAGCAGACTGTTTGGCTATGTCGTTTATTTCTGATGTATTTAAGCTCCAATTAGTTTGAACGAGTTCGGCTATGCACGATAGCCGCACGCTGCGTTCTATCCGGGCTCTTGCTGCTATGTTCGCCCATCGTACTGTTCTGCTGTGTCATCGGAATCAATTTTCTCTCAAAGGACACAGCTGTAATGTGTACACACGACCGTCACTGGTTCGCTTGAAACATGGACATTTGTTCACACACATGAGTCATGTGCCTGACCAGACAGACCGTGGCTCGTGATAACCAATCACCACAGTCCTCCACCGCTAGATTAAGAGTATTCAGCTTGATAGTGTTCTTGCTGCGGTGCTCACGAAGTGACCGCCATGGCTGTATACGTTATTCATCGTGGTCTTCGTTTGGCAATAGTTCCGACGCTATTCTCAGGGATGCAGGCGATAGGCAATTTGCTTGTTCCTCTGCAGGACTCACAGGCTGTCGTCGCACTTGGTCCGAGTGACGTCGAAGCATTCTCCCATCCTCCAATTCCGCTTCCACTACACTACCTCTTGTCGATCTCGTAATCCCTGGCATCCAAGTTCTATCCGTTGGCCTCAGTTTAACATACACACTGTCGCCTACCTCAACCACTCGCTTCTTTGTTTTCATGTCGTAGCGTTGCTTCATCACAGACTGGCGTTTACAGACCGTTCGATGCAGATTGGGTTTAATCAGATCAAACCCATCAGAAGTCCACACGGTGGATGATACGTGGCACTGTGTGGCGTAATGCGATATTGTAGTTGGAATTTGTCCAGGCGGGTTTGTATAGTTCAGGACTGTTGTTTGGCCACACCCAGTTTGATTGTCGCAACCGCTCTCTGACAGACTATTGGGGCCGACAAAACATGCTCGATTCCATTTTGACGTAGGAATAGTGCAAACTCCTCGCTGATAAATGTCGAGCCGTTTCTGAAACAACCGTATATGGTACACCATGTGTAGTGAAAATATTCCTTAAGATGTGCACAGTGGTCGACGCAGTCATGAATGTGGTTGCTCGAGCTTCGACCCATTTGGAATGGGCGTCCACTACACCCAGAACCATGAAGCCGTCTATGGGTCCACAGAAATCAATGTATATTCTATCCCACGGGCGTGAGGGCCATTGCCATGGAGACATTGGCACAGGTTGTGGGGATGATTTATTTTCTTGACAGCTAGCACACAAATGTACGCGTTGCTCTATTTCTTGATCGACTCCTGGCCAGCCCATGTAGTTACGTGCCAGTACCTTCATCTTTGAGTTTCCTTGGTGACCCATACGAAGTTCCCGCATGATTGACGATATCGTTTGAGGACGATGACTCGAGAGCCCCAAGTTTTGCAACCGTCCTCGAGGCTTAATTCGTCTCTTCGAGTGCGAAATGCTCTTAGACTTTCATCTACCCGATCCGGCCAACCAGTTAGGATATAATCACGCACCTTCGACAGTTCCGGGTCACTCCTTTTCTCCGATTTTATTTCCGTTACTGTCACCGGCGAATCATCCAACCAAGATATTACTCGTATCAATTCTCTCAAAGCTGACATGGAAGTCGGCTGGAAGCATCGGCACAATGATTCTCCTTCCCGGAAAGATATTTTAGCTGATACTGATATCCAGCGAGTACTAGAGCCCAGCGAAGCATTCGTGGCGATGCCTTTAGGGGTATCAGTTTTGATTCACCCAGAATTCCTAGTAATGGCTTGTGGTCTATGTGTGTTTCAAATCTCCGCCCGAATAGGTATTGATGAAATCGCACAACCCCAAAAACGACCGCCAAAGCCTCCTTGTCAGTTTGGGCGTACTTTCGTTCGGTCTGCGCTAGGATCCGATAGGTACATGCAACTGGTTTGTTTACTCCGTTCGCGCCAGGTTGTAACAGGGCGGATCCGACTCCGTACGGTGATGAATCACATGTCAGCGTCATGTACATTTTGGGGTCAAAGTGGGCCAAAACCGATGGACCGGCCAATACACTTTTAGCTTGACGAAAAGTCAATTCCTCTGTCTCAGACCACACCCACTGTGTGCCTTTGCATAACAAACGATGTAACGGGTGTAACCCTGTGGCTGATTACCGGACAAACCGTGAGTAATGTTTGTACATTCCCAAGAACGGCCTCAACTCGTGTTGATTTCCTGATTTTGGTGCCTCTAGGATAGGCCGGATTTTCTCCTCAATCGTTTTCGGTCTCACAGCACGTATACAGAAACCCAAATAATCACCATGGGGAGCCAAGAATACGCAATTTTCACCTTTCAGTCTCAAACTATTCTCCTTCAGTCGATCTAGAACAACTCGCAGAGTTTGTAAGTGTTCGCCAGTTGTCGCCCCCGTAACCCAGATGTCGTCTAGGTATACGAAAACTTTTGGAAACGCTGTTATGATGTTCGCTCTTGTTCGCTGGAAAATGGCCGGAGCCGAATGTATGGCAAATGGTAGTCTGTTGTACCTGCACGAACCGCGATGGGTACTGATCGTCGCTATTGTTTCAGCTTCTTCATGTAGTAGCTCGGCAACGAATGAAGCAGCTGGCTCCCACTCACCCTGGACTCGGGTATTGAATGCAAATCGCTGCACAATAACTGTTGGTTTTGGATTTTAGTGATTGGAAACCAGTGTAACCAGTTCAGTAAATTGTTTGGTGCATGACAACTCGGGAGTCATCAAGCTGCGAATGAACTCGTATCTTTTTGAGCCACATATCCTCAGTAGGATATTCAATTTACGCTTGTCGCTGACGATTTCATTAGCCTCGAAAGTACAGTTCATAGGCTCGATGTAATGGTTCCAGGAACCGGATCCTTCAGGGTACTCTCCCAATTTTTCGATGGTGGTCATGGATTCGATAAGCCGTCACCAGCATTGTAAGAACACGAACACACAAAGGACACGGCTGTAATGTGTACGCAAGACCAGGTCACCGGTTCGCTTGCTAACATGAACATTTATTCACACACATGTGTCACCTGAATGACCAGACAGACCGTGGCTCGTGATAACCAATGACATCAGCATCACCCAACCTCCTTACTTTTGGACCTTACATCCCGTTTACGTACTTCCACCACCTTCAGGAGTCCCGTCACCGCGCTTATAGATAAAGCATCTATCGTTCTTTAACGCCTCAGTCGCTTATGTAGGAAGCGTCAACGGTTGAGTTTACAACACCGCTGTACCCTGAGAACTTTAGGGGACATCATCTTTGACCGTTGATCCATTTTCATTGTCTCACAGATGAGCATTGCCGAGATCTGTCATTCGGTGCCTCGTTAGAATGTCTATAGAGCTCGAATCACCTCCGGTGGCTCAATCATGTGCCCCCCCCCCCAATCCAGCATGCCGGCTGCCACGAAGTGTGTCATTTCCCCATATCGAGACTTGTATGAAATCTCCCAGGCAGTTAGTCAATGACATAGCGAATGATCTTGATGAAACTCACCGAGGAGCGAACTCACGTTGCGCTTTACCATCTTCGTGAGTGAGGAGCTCGGTGTCAGCTGATACCTATCAGATATAGCAAGTATATGAAGTCTGTGCCATTTATCTTTTGCTTTCAGTCCCTTACTCCTGGCACCTAGCTACTCTCTAGGGCTGTTTTATGGTTATTACTGTTATTACTGCGGACATGTGTTAAAACCTAGTACACATCGCTCTATATGTGTCCTCAGTCACAGCGGCAAGTCCCTCTGCACATTCCACCCATGTTTGTTGATCTGTGATGCAATTCACGAGCTACACCTTCCATCGGCAATCTTATTAACTTTCTGACCTCGAGCCTGAGAAGTTTGCAGATCTTCGCTTGATGCAAATCTCTCTCCGTTTTCTTTGAGCAGGTGAGTTGTGCTGCTCGTGACAGTCTTGCTGGTCTATTTATCCGTGCTCTACCGGCTTGTAACATTATCTGGACACATGTACTGGATCCGCAACCACCGAAATCCACTGACAATTTGGTAAGTGCGCATCGGAGCCCTCACATGTCACTGCCTCTTGTAACGATTTGTCATCCTTATGGACCACACCTGACTAGCGACCACCTTCGAAATACAGAGATTGCATAAAGTCTATATTGATTTCATTTGACTTAGGTTGTTTTGATTTCGTCTCGATCATTATTGTGTCGGCCCTACGCTGCTTCCACCCACTAACGGTAGTGAGAACACGCACGACAATCCGGGTGCAAAACAACGTTAGTCGCCGCGAGCCGAACCGGCAACCAAGCATCCGTGAGTACAAATCAACAGAATAATTCAAATCAGGGCATATACACAGACTATGCAGAAAAGCTGACCTTCGATCATTCAAGGCTGGTCAATTCAAGGGTGAAGGAACGATACGATGCCTCATCAACCAGCGAAATACACAGAATAAGCGAAAAGCTGATAAGCGGAATATTCAGTGGCAATACAAGCTGATCACAAATATGAGACAAGCTGAAACGGGTATGCGGGGAACCATAAAAGGGGACGGGATGAATAGGGGTGAGTGAGGCAAACTCACAAAACAACGAGGAGTGGTGTTTTCTTACTCGCGCTATAACACTCACAAACAACTATGTAAGCCAACGCAACCTACTGGTGTGAGGTCGAAGCCGAAGAGACATCCTTCGTCAGCAATTGTGGAATGCACAAAGCCAGCTTGTCGGCAGCAACAAAACAAGTTATTGGGGGGTTTCCTCGGAGTGGCATCCAAATCAGATCATCCCCCACATGCCCGAAGGAAGTGCACAGGCTGGTGATGCAAACCGCTGGTTGTCATAGGTCCGCATCCTGATCCATGTGCATTACTGACAGGACCCATAAGGTCGAAACGACCGTCTTGTGCTCTTCCGAGTAAGTGGTGGACCATCTGATTTGCAAGGTACTACTAAACAATCCAATCCCGACAAAGCACTCATGAGCTTATTTACATCGTAATTCTGCTTTATGATTGTAGATGTCTAAAGTGATTTACCGAAAAGCATATTTCCGCGCAATTGTCAATTTCTGACATCAATAATCATCCCCTACTCATGGGTAAACGAAAAGCTAACTATTTTGAATAGTTTATCATCACGATGATTTGGCGTGTGTGCGCACATACCAACCAACTCACATGACCCATATTGCTTTAGACGCGTTATATATTTTTGTGTCTGGTGCGGCGTGCAAAAATAATCTAAGAGTAATCCTTGTGTACCCCTGGTTTTCGGTCTCTCTTACAGAATACTGGCTCAACGGAATCACCGAATTATTCAGGTTAGTCCCCGAACATGCGAACATTTTCACAATCGCCGTCATTTTTGTTTCTAGATTAGAGATAAACATGAAGTTTGAGTGCATTCACTGTATTGGACCGATTTAGTCCATTCTTATTTCACCGACGTCCAAACGGATGCATGCACAAATTTCCCCTCCGATTCATCATCCCGTTCATTCAGGTTTGAATGATCAGGCCGAACCTTGTGAAACACCACATGAGAAGAAGGATGGCATACCCGTCGACTACAGTGCACTGGCTACAGACCGGAACTCGGTCTCGTACGAGCCCAGAGCCGTTTGGTTCGCTTTGGCATTTGCGGAGCATCTGACCGAAGTGTGGTCGATGACAATCAATGCAGTAGTCAGCAAGCACGTGACCACACCGTCACTGGCGGTACAGAGAATGGTTCCGTTTCTTCAGCTTCTCATCACCCTCATCCGTACCCTACACACAAATCTGTGGTATCTGCATCAACTAGATGAGTCTCATCCCTCGGAGTGTGGCGATGCCACGGTGCCCTCGGTTCAACGTATCAGGTACGTCACTGATCAAAATATGTAAATAGAGAACACCTGCAACCGGTCATACACCCTGTTTTCAAGATTTAAAATGAATGTCAAATCTCCTCACGATTGCTAATTTCAGCCTTTTGTTATTGTATCTTCTGACGATGTCCCCCGTATTCCGTGCAACTGCATCCGCTTCTTGCATGCGGAGTTGCTTGTATCTGGTGTCTGCAGTCTAGGCGCCATTCTGGGCACTCGTGTGGGCGCCCTAACGGATTTGGACAAAAGTCAGAATTCACTTTACTCCAAGTTTATAGTCGATGCTGTTGTATACCATTACGCGCAGTACGCCACTCCGCAATCCGACCTCAGTAGCAGTACCATGGACACGCACGAACGGTAATCAGAACAAAACCACGACACACTTGGAACCATGTATTCTGCTTCATGACTCCTCCCTTTATATGCGTGATAAGTATTAGCGGTCAGTCGACAAGCGTTCAACCAATCAGTCGCGAGCTGGACTCACGTACACACCTCTGAACGTAAAACCATCAATTAGCCCACCCAGCACGTCTTGCAACGATTTCAGGATTGGGTATCTAACGACTACGTGTCTTTGATGAACTCACTTGTCATGCAGTGTTCGGTCATTTGGGAACAAGTGGTGTATACATCGTTTTAACGACCTCGTAATGCACCACCGATCGACTGACCGGATTTTTACAACGTAGGAATACAGCCGCCCCTGATTCCTCCTCACTGGACACGTACTTTTCGACACATAAAAGTCAATGCTTGTAAAGTGTCTATTCTCCTTGCTGCACTAGGCACTCGTATTGTTGTCACGTAGTGTTCTAGCTTTCGATGCAGTTTGGCGATTGGTGCCCTCCAAGCGCCATCTGCTAGCCAATGAAAGTTTTGCCGTTCTAAACTTGTTCCCGAAATGCATCAAACGTAAAACAGCTATCTTACTTGCTCAGGATATCATACCGAATGAACTTCATCTAGCTCTCTTATATAGACTTTTGTTCAACTGCATTATCACAGTTGATGCTTCTGCGCCTTTGCTTGCAGAGAAACTATTCGCCATTTGCTCACTCTGCTACTCCACATTCCAAACGTATCGGCAAACGATACTATTTCAACTGCCACCAAATTGAACCGATTAGAGATGCTGCGAAATTCACTTCAAGAAATGGCTGCTGCTGAACTCTCTGTTGCACTCGAGGTGACAATTTTGCAAATATGCACTTTACGCGAACTGTTGTCTTTTGCGCCGCAGTCTGCGGACGACGATTCGTCCCAGTTAACCTTGACAGACATCACCTCGCTCCCAAGGGGGACTCTTTTTGACGCCACTGTCGCTTCCACATCTTCCGCAGTGCCCTCTGTACTCCGAAGTCCAATTTTAGACCGATTTTTCAAAACTTGCCTTGCGTTGCTAGAGTTCAACTACGCGGAACTGGAATGTGGCGAAGGAGATTCTCGACCTGCGTTTGTGAGTGCACTTCTTGGTTCAATAAACAATACTTATGAACCTCAACATATTGACTGCCTTTTCTGTTTTTTTTCAGATTGAAACTCCCTCACATGGCAACTATCCCAGGTCACCCAAGAAGTCCTTGATCGCTGGTCTTTTTCAAAGTTCTGTCCTTGGTGTACGTGGTAGTTCTGGTCTTTTGATGGAGGCCACATCGATGCACCTTGGCAGCTGGGCACCGCTGCTGGACCCGCATTTCGTGTTAGATCAGCTTGGCGACCCTTTGAGTGAAATCTCCTGGTGCATTCTAACTTCCTGTTTACCAGCTCTCCGTAGCTGCTTCGCATTACTGGAACGCCAAGATAAGCAAGCTCATCTCGCCTCTGGGGACCTCAACGCACAACTGACTGAGAGCAATGTGTGGATGCGCTGGTGCAGTGTTTTGTTGGGCCACCTCAAGGTGATGGTCCATCCGGGTTCACTGAAAGAACCTGCTGAGTTCCCATGCATCACTGCCAGTCGGATAATGTTCCCATCATTCTTGGACTACAGGCACTGGCAAACGGATAGGATTACAAAGATGTTTCAAGAGGTTATATGCAAGGTATGTAACTCACTCGAATTATAGATGGTTTTCATCTCTAGGTAAAATTTGGTATAATCATTTTAACCTGCGATTGAAAGCAACAGATTTAACCTTTGAGTTACCTCATGAGCTCGACGCTCCCATCCGCAGGAAACCGGCATCTCATCTAAATAGCAGACGAATCATCCGGTAACGTTTTCATTCGAATGCGTTACCGTGATTTGTCCTGTACGTGCGCTCTGCTCTGCTTTGTGCAATTCCAACTGAAACGATCACGTTCCCCGGGGAGCTCCAATCGCAGTCATAGTTAGAAGTCAACGACGTATTGACGGAACATCTACCGGGACGGCACAGGTAGAGCGAAATTCAGTGGATGCATACAGATCAACCCAAGACTTTCACCTTCAGGAACGGCTAGGCCGATTGCTATCCATTGTAGTTTGCATCCGAGCTAGTCAATGAGGAGACAGGTCCCGTCATCGCCTGACGGATTTGAATTTCCTTGGGACAGTTCGGCACCTTTGCTGAATATCATTTGCTCAAACCATTTTCTTTTCGAAAGAGTGACTTTTCCTGGGAAATTTTACTTTCTTCAGAGATTCCCTTTCGCGCCTGGTGTATAACAAGTGAACCTCGTGTGGCGGTTACTAGTAAATCGCTCACCTCGTTCGATCAAACATGTGCATACCGGGCGCTACTCTGTACCATCTTGGGGTTGACTCAGTTCTATCATACGCCACGTTTAAGCTAGCCCCCTCTCAAAACAACTTTACCTTCACTTTTGTGTCAGGTCTATGAATGGCACATTAGCAGACCAACTTTGCAGCTTATTTTCCGGTAGTGCATTTCAAAAGCACGTGTCCTTTCATTGCTTTACTCTGCATCATTCATACACTTCTTCTTCCCCCGCACTCCAGCTACTACTGACTAGCGTCTCCAGTGAGCACCTCGGCCCGTCCGTGAAGCCTGCTCTAATCAAGACCTGCCGTGAACAGTTGGATTTGGATCTGTCTGGAACGTCCAGTCCGGACGAGATGCTTCGCCTCCTTGTGGATGGCTTGCGTCAAGCGGCCAGTACGAATCGCTTCTCAATTCGCCGTCTTCAGGAACGCCGACTGCAGAAGTTTAAAATGCAACTGGATGGAAACAAGGTGTTTAGTTGCTTTTTACACCTCGAACGAGGTTTGATTTGAATTCCGCTCCAAAAGCTGATGAACTTCAATCGTCCACCCAAGTATATAGGTCTGGCTTTTGTTTCCGTTTCCTACTCTGCTACGCTTTATTTACGCGGCCAATACGATTTACTTACGGCTATACAGTTCATGTAGCGCTAAAAAACCATGGATCAATTTTGTTTTTTCCTTCTAGAGACACACTTCATGTAGGTCATTCGCAGATATTCAGTCTTTGGGTTTTACGCATGAGTATTGAACCAATCATCCATAAATGTCCATGCAGACGTTGAGTCTAGCGGGGGTAATCTGCCGGGAGTGACATGATGCATTGTCTAGTACGCGCCAAACCCCCCATACCATCTTATGGGAGCGGGCGGACAGCGAATTGACCTCGCTATAACTGATTGATACATTCCCACTTACTGTGTACATGAGCCAGATGTTTCCCAGTGTTTCCAGAGGAATTAGCTCCTTTGCCCTTTCATTCACGCTGCAAACGGAACGAAGACCGAAGTTCTCGTCCATTTATCATTAAATCTGTACAAGAACTCACACAGTTCGCATGTTGTTTGGGTCTAGCACCCCACACTTGTCAATTCACAAGTGTCGATTGGTTTATCTCTGATGGGGGTTCTATTCACCCGTGTTGTAACTTGCAATACTTGTACATTCTGAGCCGAATTCTTTTGTGAACTTCGATCGTAATACACATGGCCTTGTTTGTCGCACAATATGACGATCCATAGATTTTGAGGCTGAGATCTCACTGGCGTCCACCACCAACAAACTCGTTCGGGGTGAAGTTGATGTTCGCTTCAGTCAGTTCAGTTCGTTTCTGTCCGGTGCATCTTGACCTATCTCTCAGAGCTTATTAGTAGATGTAAGTTGCGACACAGAGTCCCTTTCCGATTGGATAAACGATTCTCGAGAAGCCCACCATTGTGAGTATACTCCTGTTACATGCCTGTGCGCTATGAACTATCAAATCCACCTCTGTTGAATCGTGAACGACTGCTTTAATGCTCATGAATGTGTTCCATCCTGGTTTTCGACAATTTTGTATCTTGAAAGATGTTCTTATTAAAAGCTCTTAATCGCATTTCAATGCCTTACAGGGTTGCTTTTTCTCTCGGAATTCCCCAAAATAGGCTTGTTGGATTGCCCGAGTTTCGATGAAACGCTCTGTATGAGCAGTGTCTTCCTGTAGAAAGTCAAATTTGTTTTGTGTTTGCCAGCTTCTGGGAGGAATATTGCACGAGAACGTTTACCTGTATCTTATAACTGCAAAGCTGGGAATTTAATTGCTTTGCGCATAATTTTCGCGACATTGTTAAACAACTTTGTTTAACATTGACAGCGCATAGAAGGAACTTCCGGAGCATATTCACCATCTACTTCAACTGCTGCTTCCCATCTGCTTGGCTGCCGGTCGATTCAACGGGCAGTCCCTTTGCTGATGGTGCCCACCAAATTGCCGAAAACTTTGTTCGCGAACCAATTTTTCAACGATCGATTGTTGTGCTCGTCTGAAGACCATTATGGGGGGTGAGAAAGTACTTCCTGGTCCTTATTGGCGATGGATTGGATGACACGGCGCCTGACATGTGGCCGCACATTATCGTTCTGGATGACGATGTGGTTCTTTGTACACGGTCTTTTCGTCTCGATTGCAGTTTGAATGCGATCAAGTTGAGCCAGATGTTGATCTGTGATTTCCGCTTTCCGTTTTGGTCCAGAAAAGAGAATTGTTTCAGTAAAAAAATAACACACGTTTTTACATGAAAGCTTGAGAAATAAACACCACAATAGTTATGCCCCAGTCTAATATTTACTGTATGTGTTAAATCTCCCTCCACAGACCTGTCGTTTTTTACAACCTCCTGCTCCTTATTCAGTTGCAGGCCGCCATTGAGAGCTATTCGTTGCCAGACCTGAACTACAGCATCGAAGTAATCTCATTGAGCGCTTATCAGTATCATCAGGCTATCTCCACCTGATGAGTCCAAACCAGGACGAAACCGCGGTCGCGGGGTGTCAGTGTTGGGATGAGCAACACCAAAATATTTTCATTTATCATTCAGTCCTTGTGATCGCAATGACCGAGGTCCACCTCAAGTGAACCGAGGTCTCAATAGAGGTTGCTTGTAGCAACCCAACCACCAGCGGATTCTCCAAGTTAAATTTTGAATTCGTTTCCGCTGTATCAAGCGTTGCTCGCGGATCTCAGTGGCATAGTGCTTATGGCGTCAACCATGAGCTACTCGGCTCTGAGTTCCAGCCCAACTCAGGCTATCTCCAACTGATGAGTCCCAACCAGGACGAAACCGCGGTCTTGGGGTGCCAGTGTTGGGATGAGCAACACTATAACGTTTCCATTTTACTTACGGTCCTTGTGGTCGGAATGACCGAGGTCCACCTCAAGTGAACCGAGGTCTCAATAGAGGTTGCTTGTAGCAACCCAACCACACAGCGGATTCTCCAAGTCTAACTTTGATTTCAGTATCCGTTTAGTTGATGCGCCCACTTTCGATTAAAAATGTCTTGACTGTACAACAACCTGGGTTTCCAAAAGATGTTACCGGCCGAGTACCATAATTACCTATTTCTGCCGGACATAGGTCTTATTGCATAGCGGCTAACTCACGTCGATTTGCTTGCCAAGCTGTTTTCACTGTGTGTTTGCACCTTCAGAAATTAAGGGAGAGCAATAGTGCTGTCGCGTAAAACAGTGCCGTATTTCGGCCAGTGACACACTGCTAATGGGAAACGATTTGGAGTAAGGGCCAGATGACTAGTGAACCCTCATCGGCACGCGAGGGATCCAGTTTCAATGCTGGATGTATGCGTCAAAAGTTCAAACAGATGACTCCAACAAGAAGTGTAGCATTTCTGGCCATTCCCGAAGTGCACACATGCACCATAACGTCAGCTGGCGCAGCGGACTGTGGAATTTTTCACACTGTTGCACTCCGTTCTGGCTGAACAACGGCCACAGCATATCCCCGAGATGGGGCGCGTTTCGTATTCTGACTGCAAACAGCTGATTTACGGAGGGTATGGTTTGAACACTATTTCAGCTATTGTTCAATCTTTTCCTCACCCACATATTTCGAATTTCTGACTTTGACTATCTTATGATTGCTTCCGCGCTTCCTGACTCGAAGTAGGTGCCATACTAAGTGGCTTTGCGATCCATGTGCAGTCTCGCTAGGTTTACAAACTTGCAGATAACTAGATACGGTCTCTTTCACTTCAACGCACCAATGATTAGTGGCTAATGATTTCAAGGTCTTATCGAAATTGGTGGAAATAATTTGCCCCGTCATAGTTTGGGATGTTAGCCAGCCTATCTGGTGACAGGATTGAGCTCCTTCTTTTTCGACGCTGTGCGCAGTACCGGTCTTCAGAGGAGAGATCAGACAACCAGTAATTGTCTGCTTGCGTTAGGGTGTTAACTGTCTGCTTATGCTTTATTAATGGTCAGAGACAATCTCATGTCGTTCACAAAGTTTCCAACTCCAATAGATAAGACAGTATTTTCTACCACTAGACGAGCCATAGTCTATTTTATGTACAGCAAACAGAAAAGTCAGTAAAGAACGCATAAACGACTGTGGGGCACATCTTGTCTTACTCTCCTATTCGCTACAGTATGCCCATAACACGATGTCTTGCAAAACAATTGCATCCCTAAAACCCAATACTGGGAACTCCTTTTGTCTGTGTAAACTGACACGCTGCGTTTACCACTTCTCACTGGCTATTTTTTGTTGAATCCTGCCTCCCAACTACTCACCGCGGTTTCTCCAATCCAGGTGTCATCGTCCCACAACTTAGCTAGCCTGACTTCTTTGTTCCCAGAGGAGGAGGGCATTGCCTGTGCTGTTTGTTCAGCAGGATTCCGCGGCGCACCAAAAGAACAACTGGGATTCTACGTGTTTGTCTCCCGATCCCCCTTGGAAGCGCCTTTGTATTTTCATGGGACACCGGAGTCCTCGGGTACACAGCCCACTGGTTCCGCCCTTATAGGACGACGAACCACCTCCAATTTCGTGGCCGTTCATTACAGATGTCATACGAAGGTTTGTACTCCGTTTATTTTGAGTGTATCTCTGAACTGCGTGGTTGTAAATCCATTTTTTCACTTGTTGTTTAGCAATGTTTTGGTCATACGTCGTTATTACTGGCAACCCGATCGTTGCAATTACTCATGCGACTACCTCGGTAGATGTTGACAGCGTTTGTTGCTTTTCCCTGCGTCTTGTACATCTTCTAAGTATCACGTAAACTGACGAATGCGACTTAGCGATATAGTACACGAATTGCTAAACATAGCTCACAATATCGTGCCCGGTGGGCTCTTGCAATTGTCCATTTCACTTATTTGCCCCAACCGAATGAGCCGATTGTCCCCCAAGGAGCCTGCTTCTGCGTCGCCCGATCGGCAAATTGGACAGCTAGTTTTCGCTTTCTATTCACCCAGTAAGGGACTAGAACCCACAATGTTTCTTCCTCTGCAATCAGTTGTTGATCTAAGACACTTTTCACTATCCCCTAAATGTCACCAATTATCCATGCTTGCCTACAATGTGATCAAACATTAGTGACTCAGTAGTGAGGTCATGTCTCAGGGAGCCGCCAACCCTACCGTCTACACGTTAAAATATGCATAGCAGTGGAGGTCGAACCATGCCACGTCACAGCTGGTTGTTTAGTCACAATGACCACCGCCATCCCCGTACGGCTCAGTTGTCCGAACCATTTGATTGAAATAAAGTGTCACTAACTCTAGCCTCTCACCCGGCAGATGGAATATGCACTACTAACGGGTTCGGAAAGGATGAAACTGCCGTCTAGTGCTTTCCGGATGTGCAGTCAATGTCTGACTGAGCACTCCTGTAACGAACCTCCCTCGAAATGTACTCATACTTCCTCATCACATTACTCTCCAAGTATGCGCTTTAAGTGTTTCTTCATCTATTTCGCTTCCTTCTCCTACTTCTTACACCTATGCGTTACTGAGGTCGTTAGCAACATTGGCTACATTTTAACATTAATCGGTCATCAGTCACCATCTTGAACCCTACTACCTTCCGCCACGACTAAACTTGATAAAATAAAATGGCGCTCAGATTGCATCCTATTGCCGTTTGACAATCCCTTGTCCTGAGCACTTCGCCTCTACCATTGTGGCTTGCGCATAGTTAAAAGTTTGTTTAAATGATAAATCACAGAATTTTAGTTCACTTTTCCAAGGTTCATCACACTAAAGCTGTCCCCTCCCCTTAATTAATAAGCTGTTTATCCGGATGTTGAAAACTAAATGGTAAAACCGAGTAACAATGACTTATCGCCTAGTAGCTATCATGGAATCGAGCTCAGCATCTTAAGCATACACTTGTACCACGCCGTTTGAGACTTTGACAGCACTCTTCACCAGCATAGCAGCAGATCGGCTGATGTCGGTCAATCGATTAGCACAACACAATTGCAAACAATTTCACCCTGCTTATGTGTCACTGTAATTGCACCGTATGACGTCTAGGGTTTGCGCGTGTCCGTTGTCCCGTTAACAAATCATCTTAAATTCACTTATTTCCAACTTATATTGTTCCTTTACACTTTTCAGTACTTGAATGAACAGTATGATGAAAATGAATGGGGAACGGCGCAAGGTATAAATTTTAAGGTTCCGTGCAACGGGATTCTTCCAATCCTCGCTCCGCCGGTGGGTACTTTCCCAACTCCAGTTGGTTTGGGACCTACGTCGCCATCTTCCATATGTCCGGATCCCGATGCCGCTTACGTGGAGAAATTGGAAAGTTACACGAGTATCGTGAAGGTGATGCTTCTCTTCACTGTAAACATTGTACTTGCTCTGCTGAAATTAGCTCCGGTTTATCCCAACCATCGATGTGGTGCGTTCGATGGCATAAATACACGCGGGTTTAAGAAAAACTCAGGGCATCGTCCTTGCACAACTGATCCGCGTTCCGTATACTTATCAGCGGCATATCCGCACATTTTTATGCACAAGCCACACGTCCGGTTGACACGATAACTTTACGCAAGAAATTACTCCTCTTTATTCCCGAGTGTTTATCTCTCACTGTATCCAAATAAGGTACTGCATTCTTGCTTCCATTTCTTGCATGCAACAGCACAGAGGATCTCTTGTCACCGGTGGGAAGTAAAGAAGTCAGCTAACAACGGCTCATTGCGTGCAATTTGGCGACTTATAGGGTGTTTGAAAAAGTTCCAAATTTTAAGGACGTTAACTCAGATACTTCCAAATGATCCGTACTGTTTTACTTTTCGTTGTTCCAGTTCTACCTCGCATGCTGTTCCATGCCTAGTGCATTCAGTACTGACATTGCTAGGCAAATTCGTGGACCGGGGTTCGATTCCCCGTCGAGGCAGATTTTCGTGTGGAGTTTAATCGTGACTTCTACTTTCTACGAAACTTACGTTACTCACAAACATCCTTCAACTAGTTAAATGAATCGACCTCTGACTGATCTCCTGACCACAGCACTGCTGCTTGCGGTTACGTAGGACGGAAGGTGCACACTTTACTCGACCTGGTTTTAAATTGTCTTCACCGTTCCCCACATATTCTGGTGTGCTTCATAGACCTGTTCTTACCTCGCTTGTAATATTAACATTGGCTGAACTACGCAGATGACAAGCTATTAGGTGCCAATCACCTGACCCCAGTTTCTTCAGGGAAGCCTCAAGCTCATATGCACAAACTCAGACTGTGGTCCAAATCTTGCCACCTGTCGTCTAATGCATTGAGGTTTAACAATCTATCTTTCACACTACATAACTTAGATGGTTGCCAGCAACTTCTCACAATGCGTCATCCTAGCTAGCCAGCTCACCACTTATACCACTTGTACCAGGATTGTCCAGCAACTCCGAGACACCATCAGTGATATTGTCAATCGGTTGAGTTTCCAGGGGGAACCCGGCAGAATAGAAGAACTGGAAGGTTATTATGTTAAGGCAGGTATCAATTTGAGCTGTTATTGAACCAGCGACTTAAGATCGTTGTACGCAATCTCAGTTGTTTGAAACAACCCGTCGCCACTTTGTTATGACTCCCTCTTGGTTACACCATGTTCTGACGATCTGGTGTCAACAACTCTCCTAGTCGGCCGAACGAAGGTGACTCGGAACGCATGGCTAGGTAACCGACGAAATTCAAAGTTTGTACGACCCCTGAGACTTAGGCGTAACACGGTTACTACGCAAGAGTTGAACGGTCTCCTAGACGGAACTCCATTTCATACCCAACTACCCGAACCCGAGAGAATAAGACAAACGACAGGCCTTTCGCAACAGGCACTTTTACCCGCCAGACTCAAGGCGATTACAGCGCAGTCCATCTTTAATTATATACCGCGGTTGTGAAATATGTGATTTTTTCACCTAGAATAGTTTACGTAAGCAACTCCTGGAAGCAAAGCATAAGCAAGTGAATTGGCACTATGTGAATATGCCAACGGAACATATCGAATGTTGGTGGATGCGGAGGCCTGACTGGAAACAATGAATGTTTCTTAGATAGCAAAGCCTGAATGTTTCGTAATTGCGCAGGTTGACCGGATATAGAAATGTTTCTTAGGTCAAAGGCTGATCCACAAGTAAGTGTCTCACGAGTTGGAAGGGTGATCGGCACATGTGCACCGGTCTGAATACGAGTCTCATTGGCTTCCGTGGTTTTAGTTTGCGATCCTGTGGAGATGTTGAGTCCCCATAACAGGATATGAAGAATCTCTATTGAAAATTTACTCCAAATCACACCTTTTGCTACTCTTTAAAAGTCAATAAGTTTCCAAGTTGGCATGTAATGCTGTCTGACATTGGCGGCTCAGGGCGCCAATTCTGTGCTCTTCACGTAGGAAACACCCGTTATATCACAACCATTTAGTGCCTTCTAACAGCTACCAGCTATCTCCTGTGGTCAGGCGGTCTTACCCACAGACGCGTATTCGTGGTGTTGTAGGTTCGAGCTCCCCATAGGACAGATGGAATGGGCACAACTAATGATAGCAGTGAGCTTGAAACGGTCGTACAGTGCTTCTTCCGGTGCACAGTCACTTTCTGATTGATTTGGGCTGTGTCGAATTTCCATTGAAAACAGTAGCATTGATCTATTAACAGTGAAGAACTAGATGCAATTGTCTCACCGCGACACTATAGTGTTTCCAATCCCTGTGAAATCAGTCACTTGGCACATGTTGTGGAAGGTGATTCAGTGCGTTGCTTCTGTGGCGGCCTTGTTCGTTCGCCCCACAACTTTGTTTTAAGGCTCACAGCTATGTTGACAAAGTCGTGCTTTGAGTAATGATTACAGTTCTGGGCTCTGTACGCCGCCCTCCCCCTTCATCCACTACACCATTGCCTCGTAGGGAATGTGGGGGTTCGCATCACTGTTCACTTCCTGTGGATTCAATTGCAAACCGATTTGTGTTACTCTCCTTCGTTTTGTTTTTATTACAGACCACTTTGCGTTCCCCGCCGGAATATGTGCTAGCCATGCATGATGTGAAGCTACTGCTCAGTTCGATTGCCTGTAATCAATCGTTTCAAGCAATTACGGGCGGTGCAAGCCGGGAACGCAATCTGCAACTTTTACCACATCTCATGCAGGTGAGTTGAATGGATAACCGACAACTGTGTGCTCTCCTGTTGTTTCTCCAGTTGGTCCATTTTATTTGAAGAGTTGTTGGACACTTTGTATGAGTCTCTATTAGCCATACAAAATAAACTCACGGTTGAAGTACGAGAATTCTGTTCTTAGCTATATGCAGGATAGGTCGGTGTGCCAATCAGTAAATCACGCATTCGAACGACCATGCCAAACACGGGAACAAACTCCGATTGTCTAAAACCGTCATGTCAAACTGAGAAGCCTTTAAGAATTTCGTGGGCCACGTTCATTGTCTTGACGGCCGCACACGACTAATAATCGAAACTTGTACGTACACACGCATATATTCCTTGCAACACCTGTTGTATGGGCCGCAACAGGCATGTTTGATACATGTCTGGTCTAAACCGTTCGTGGTTTGTGGGAATCCCCAAGTTGGACACTGAGACCGAGTTGGAGCCTTAGACTGGTCTCGACGTTGACCACAGTTATCACGCCCTTGGTCACGATCTACTTGTGTTCATTAGCTACAAACTCTCACTGGTTGCTACGCTCCGATAGTCACTGCTATGACTGAACACCCCCGGATAATTCGCCCGACACTCGCTTTCAACTGAGTGCGGTGCAGTGCCACTTCACATTGGGATCTACTCGTTAAGAGGTGTAAGTCGTAAAGTCGTTTTGCTATTTATCTTGGTTACAAAAAACGCTAACTGTCATGCTACTTCTAAATGAAACCAGTCATTAACTGAGCTTTTTTCTTCATTCTTTATAGGTTTCCTTGCATTCTCTGTTGGACTTAGAGGCGGTGGCCCTCGAAACGGAAGAACTGAACCACTATTTGGAAATTCGGGAAACACAGTAAGTGCTTTGCTCTCAAACTCACGACGCACGCCTCTTGTGAGACAACGGCCGTCCTAGTATGACTTGTAAATTGTGTGCACAACTTGTTACCACTGAACTCCGGAGTGCCACTTTGTTATTGCACGTGCTAAACTGGATTATTCATCTTCAGATGGACCATAGGTTTTCTCCCTCCTCTCTATCTTTTGCCAGTCGATGGATTCTGCCTCCAGGGACTCAGATGTCAAAAACCGTCATCAATGCGTTGTCTGATTCGGTCAGGGGCCACATATGTAGAGTAACAATTTAACCTTGCATCATGTGCTATTGTCACTAGTTGCAGCTGAATCGTGACCTCTGTGCGTCAACATTACAAAGTGTACAGTTACATGGTAACTTGTGTCCTCTATGTATTGTGTCACACTTGTCAACGATGTGTGTCTTGCTCGCTGTGACACACGGATTAGGATTCCGACAGGCCCTCTCTCTAGACCTGCCATCCTTTGTTACGCCGAGACGAAATCAGAAAACAGAGCTATGTAGTAAGACGGTTACTCACGTAAACAGCCCGAACCACTGTACACCAAAAAAGGTTCGCAAGGCGTTCGTATGTTCCTGAGTCACATGGACGCTACAGCAAATCACCAATCAATGGATGTAATTGAGCCAATAGTCGAATACCTACGCATGCACGCGGCGTGCGCTTGGCTCAGCGTATCACCATAACTCAATTGCACCTACGTCTGCTGTAGTGCTTGGCTGTGTTCTTGCGACAACTGACGGTGCGTCACACATACACACACTTGTTTTCTACGTGGCCTTTACTCGAATGATGCTATCCGTGAATCGTAATGCGAGATAATGCGTACTTAGCACTACACCTCCACTGAAGACATCGCGCCGACGGCTTTTCATATGCGCACGCTTGCCCCCTTCTGACAGTAAGTGGACATGCCGATGATAGCCACATCTCACTTACATAGCGCCGACAGTAGTTTGCCTGATCTTCGGTTGAGCACTGTAGTTCCGTTGGCATCTGTCCACCATGACGTGATCTTTTCTACCTAACTCCACTCACCATCAATTTTTGTCTGCTTCTCACGTTCACCCCTCAGCTGGCTAGCGCCCGAGCACTGTTGGAATTCTCGAGGCCCCCTCTTCCAAACCGTCGCCTCACTTCACCTGTGGCCGCGTGCCACATGGCTACGGCATCGGGTAGCAATGCTGCGTCGTCTGGTTTGCTTGGCTCGTGGGCGCCTCAGTTCCTTCACTTCGAGCTCAGGTCAACAGGGAAATGAGTTCACTTTTGTGCAATACAAACCATACCTGCTGTTCCACGGGGTCGTCGATGCGATCTACCAACACGTGTACAATGTAAGTGACTTCTTTGTCTATTCACGGCCTACTCACTGAAAATTCGCTATTTGTAACTACCCGATGTAGCCGTTGCATCGGTGCGTAGACGGCAAGTCCACTTCGTTTACGATAACTTTTGGCTTAAACTTATAAAGCATTGTTTACGGGGCATTTACCACTTCCCGTTTCTAGCTCGACAATGCAAATTACGTAGTCGGTTAAGTCAAGCCGTACTACGTAAGCCAATGAGGAAGGATGCGATGGAGGACCCAGTAGCCGGCGGCTGACAGGTCACCTCAATACTCGCTGTACAACTACACCAATGCAATCTCGACTACAGTCAACCGCATGGTATGAAGGCTTGCTGAGTTAAACGCCCATCCTCACAATGAGTTGAATAGCGAAACACAAGGTTTATGCTCGTTCTCAGCGGAAGGGATATAGGGGGCGAACCTTTAACCGCGTATGCGAAGGCCAATAAAGTTCTAAGGACAGCCTCCAGTCCGCAGGGGTAGTTGAAGCTTGGCAGAATATTCCCTGACATGACAACCGTTACGAGGTTGGTTATCACCGTTATGCAGTGGCAATGGCGTAATTCTGCTTCACTCCCACATTTGCAAACGAAGTGATAAAAATAATTCGTCTATTTCTCCAGATGTGAGAAACTGTATCTGTAGTAGCACAGATCAATTTGTACAGAAGTAACCATGGTCTTGCATACGTTGAATATTCTGGTATGTGATGCGTTCCGGTGGATGCTTCAGGCGAAAACCGTTTGGGAAACATTGGTGTTTATATGTTTATGTACCCCCCCCCCTTGGAATGGCTCGTCGAGGGATTTTTCTTATGTGCATACAATGATTATGGTATTTAGATCAAGGTACCTGAAGAATTTGCTTCTAAGTGCTATCACCGGACCTGAGTGTGACTGGTGAACTTTTTTTTACAGATATCTATATCTGACCAGGAAAGATGTTCGCTCCAGTCTTTGATATATTTATTGCGTAACTCACAAGTTGTGCTATGTTGTCGTTCGAGTGTAGTTAGATGGAAAATGTGGCGTTCCTGTTGTGAGTTTCTTTGTCCCTTCCCATCCCTTTTAGCCATACCCTCCACCTACGATCTCATTTCGTAGGGTACAACATAATAATTTTTCTTTTTGCCTAGTAGCTGGCTGGTAGCTTACCGGAACAATGCCTATCCGTTGCTGGTAGCTCAGCTGGCATGCAACTTTTGTATTTATTTTCCTTTTTCCTTTATGTATTGCGGTACAGTAGCTGAGGTGTTTCCTACCTCTAGCTGACGTGTATAATGATATGATGATGAGATCGAAAAAGGTTTTTGTGTAGCACGTTGAAAAGCAGCAACAAGTACGCTACAATCGTCGAATCCAAAGGGGTTTGGGTTGAGGTTCGCTACAACGCCCACGATAATTCATGACAATGCTTATCAATCAGATGTTTCGTAAACGACCACGGCAGGTGTTTCACAGAAATTCTGTCACTCTTTCTCATATGCTACGGTTTTCGAGGATGCAGCACACAAACGTCAGCTCTAGCATAGGTTGTATGCATTTTGTTGGATATATTGAACACAGCTTGTCTGGCACGTGCTACTTGGTCTTGGGCCTGTGTGGTGAAATTAATGGTAGATGAGTACCTATTTCCGAGACCACACGTGGAGAGCTGTGTAGGGATGGGCTCATTGTTTAGGGCCGTAGATCCTTCGGGGATGCAGCAGCCGTAAGACATGATCCTTGATTTCTTAGTCGAGAGGTTCATCGCCCATGTGTGACACCGTGACTTAAGGGAATGTAAGCCTAAAATTTAAAACAAGGTGTTCTTGTAATTCCAAACAGGAAAATCAGAAGACATAGACTGTGAGGTGACGTCGCCATTTCCTGCATTCTTATCAATCACAAAAACATACAGCAATGATATCTAAATGAACAACCAACAATGTCAAAGAGATCATATTTAGCTCCGGATTTGCGCTACCAGGGTAGACTTAAAGTCAGTCAGCTGTTTTTGAATACATAGCGGCGGTCGCTCGCGATCGATAACGATGACCTTCAATAGCCTAAGCATGTGAGGTCGACGATCGCGCAATAGGACAGTGAAGGACTCATCAGGAGTGACTCGGTGGCCGGTGGTAAGCAATTGCTTTGTGACTGCCGAGGCAGCTCGGTTTCCAGATTCAGCTGATTCCGTCGTTACAGACGCTATTCGGTTGTGTAACCACTTGAGGATGTGTTCATTGACTCTGCCACCTAAACTTCGGTTAGTACATCCAACGTAGGTAGCTCCGCAAAAAACCATACTAAAGCATACTTTACCAAACGCATTCGAATTACTTCCCTACTTGGAGCGTGTTAATTTGGCTGGAACGCGAATGTACTCCCTTGATGTTCAATCCCTCTTCACTACATATTTTTGAATGAGACTGTTAACTGTTTATGCAAGTTTATCTCAAACCATGAGGTTTGACTTCGGCTCCCCACGGAATTTTTGAAGAACATGCTCTTTTATGCACAGCAAACATCGTTTTTCTTTCAAGAGAAGGCGTATCGGCAGATAGATGTTGTGGCTATGAGTAGCCCGTTAGGCCCGTTGTTGGCAGATATATTCATGGGTATGATTGAAGAAAAAGCAGATAACATAATAAGGTCGACGACTCTGTATAAGCGTTTTATTGATGATATACTGCTAATTATGCATTCGGATGCGAACATTGAGCATGCAACCAAGACACTCAACACATTGCATCCGAACCTTACAGTGACACGTGATAATGAGCAAGATAACTGTCTTCCGTATTTAGATATACTGATTATACGGTGACTGGACAGTTCCATCAGAAGGTCTGTTTAAGGAAGCCAACCTGGACTGATCAGTATCTGCACTTGACGAGTTTCTCCCCTATTCAACACAACGCTCTCTCGTCCAGACACTCTTCTATCGGGCCCAAATGATCTGTACACCTGACACCATAGAAGCAGAAAGAAGTTTACTTTTCACTATGTTAAAGTTCAAGGGTTACCTGTTGCAGTTCATTAAGCCTATTAGTAAAGCAATCAAGCGAGCTCCTGTGCCAACTGTTCTGAAGAGGCCGATCTTCATCGAGCTACCTTTCAAAGGTGACCACGTTATGAAAGTCACCGAGAAACGGATCAGAGCGTACAATGCGGCTGAACTGCGGCTGCTCACGTCGACATCTATGCATATATGTTCAATTAAGACACCAACGACTAGGCAATGTACGTCCCACTGTCTCTATAAATTCACCTGTAGCTGCGGAGCTAGCTACCTTCGTCATACTAACCGAAGTTTAGGTGTCAGAGTCAATGAACACATCCCCAAGTGGTTACACAGCCGAATGGCGTCTGTAACGACGGAATCAGTTGAATCGGGAAACTGAGCTGCCTCGGCAGTCACAAAGCAGTTGCTTACCACCGGCCACCGAGTCAATCCTGATGAGTCCTTCACTGTCCTATTGCGCGATCGTCGACCTCACATGCTTAGGCTATTAGAGGTCATCGTTATGGACCGCGAGCGACCGCCGCTATGTATTCAAAAACAGCTGACTGTGACTTTAAGTCTACCCGGAGCTATATATGATCTTTTTGACATTGATCGCTCCCACTTAGGGGGCCGTGTACCGTCTGTCGGTAAATATACAAATTTATTTTATTTATTTATTTATATCACTGCTGTATGCTTTTGTGATTGATAAGAATGCACGGAATGGCGACGTCATCTCAGAATGGAAGTCTCCTTGAATGAGCGGTAGCGTTCCGTGAAGCTCGTCGCGCCGAAGTTTATAGGCGATCTTGATATCGTCAGCAAATATAAGTAGCCTTGTGGTTACAGAGACCATTGCAAATGCATACTGCACTTCTTCATTTGTGATTGAAGAAAATCGACTCATGCAGCCCAAGAACACACACACTGATAATGCGGCTGGTATACATTGTCTGACCGTCTAACGTCAATGAATTGCATCGTCATAACATGCGGTTGCATTTCACGGATGCGAATTCGATTTCCCGTCTGTCTCAGCATCTCTCCAGATGTTACGCAGGCTCGCCTAATTTTGGTCTGGGACAGGTTCTCGATACTGTTACGGTTAAACGCTCTATCCGCTCCATGATAAAGTCCAGTAACTAGCAACTGTGATCTTATGTGAGTGGTTTCCAACCTGGTATAATTACTCCAACAGCGGTAAAATAGGATTTGACCGGGGGTAAAATACAGGGACTGGATCATCGTTCAGTTAAGAAACGAACTTATTGCTAAAATCAACAGTAACAAATCATCTAACTAACTATCTAATCACACGCGATTAGTCATTAGTAACAAATCATCAGTGATCTCTTAATAAATTAGAACATTTCAGCTGATCAATGTTGTTAACTGAAATACAAATACAAACAAGCATGCGCTGTAACGCCGCTAGATGACTCGTTCCTCAATCGTTGTTCGTTTGAGTCAGTTAGCTGTTCGCAACCCTATCACCAATTCTCCTGCACTTGAGGGGTTGATGTCACTGATTTCCAAAACTCCGGAACATATCATAATTTGGTGGGCGTGCAACGAAGCCAAGTGTTACTTAACTGCATGCAAATATTTTCCCTATTTGGAAAATCGCCAATCGAATGCGTGGGTGCCAGTGGATCAAGGAACATATTCAATTACTGACACTGAAGCTAAAACACAACTCTTTGGAATTCGTGAAGACAATCCACTGGAAATAACATTCGCAAACGCACAACAGCAACATTTCAGGCAAATACTGGTGGCGAATATTCACTAGGATGGCGAAATACATTGCAAATTCACATCCTACTCGCCACAACTTGCAGGTGTGTGCAACTGGATTTTCCAGATGTTGACAATGAGAAAAGGGGCGAGGGATTGCTTTAACTTAAACCAGGACATACGATGTGCATTTACCGAATCTGGAGCAAATGTTAAAGAAATTATTCCAACTAAGCATTATCAACCACCTAATTAGCTTAC